TGCTCATGACCTCTTTTTCCCCCATCTTCAGAGCCAGACTTGGCATCTTCACCCGGGTCTGACCTATGCTTCCATCCTTACATCTTCTCTGTCTCACTCTTACAAATTCTTCCTGCTTCCCTCTTACAAGGATTCTGGTGGTTACACTGAGCCCACCAGTGAATCCAGGATAATCTCCTCATGTTAAAATTCTTACTTAAGTCACATCTGAAGTCCCTTTTTGCCATGTAATGTGGTATGTTTACAGGGTCTGAGGATTAAGACATAGCCTTCTTTGGGGGCCCATTATTCATACTAACATAGGGCATAATGTATTTGCCCTACAAAAGTTGATATTGGTGAAAGCACTAAAAGTGATTAACCATATGATTTATTTCCAGGTAAATTTATTAGGTAATTTGTATGACTTATTTAAAATTAGAGTAAGAATTATCATTTAACATTTCCTCTATCTTTTTCAAAGTATATTGCAGGATAAATATATGAACTTGAATGAATGGAATTAGAGGTTAAAGGAGTTGCTGCTGCTTCTAAGAGCCAAATTCAGCCATTCTTTGGAAGAAAGAAGCCACTACAAGTATGTGAACTATATAATTTTCTTTCAGGATGACTCATTAAATAATTTTTTGACCTCTTCTTCATGTTTTATGACTACTTATATTCACATATATTTAGGATCAACATTTCCTAGATTTGAAGAATGGAACCACCAAAATTTAAGATCATAATTACTTGAAAATTTGCTATTGCTTGAATTATTTTTATTTTTTAAAATTAAGCTTATTATATTATTATTATTTAAAAATATCGGTTTAAAGAAATATATGAAAAAAGAAAAATAGTGTAATGTAAATTTTACGGTTGCTATCAGTACTACGAGAAAGCACAAGTTAGATAACATTTCAGAAAGGATGTAAGTGCTGATGGGTGAATTATTTTCAATTTTTATTAACTTGAAGTTTTCCTAAGACTCATGTATATCTTCTATTTCATGGTGGCTAAGCTTGTTGTAATTTTCATGCCTTGTACAGCTTTTTGGCAAAAAGATTAAACGTTTACAAACACATGCATATGTTTGTTACTTTCTTTTTCAAACCCTACACTGTCTTCCATTACCTTAAAGAACAAGACTTAAGTTTCTGAACTTGTACTGTAATGTAACAGGTTGGCCCTACCTCCTCACACTCTGGATTTTACCCCTTTCCAAATGCTAACTCTTGTCTGGAGGCCTGTGCAGCACAAGTTGTTTCCTAGCTGAACCAATTTTCTTTCTTCTCTTTTCATCTGGCTAACTCCTCCTCATCTTTCTGAACTCCTATTAAAGATTGCCTTAAGAAAAAAAAAATCAAGCTTCCTAAATTTCCTAGAGTAGGTTGGGCATGCTTCTGTGTAGTTACTCTGTTACTGACTTATTTTTTCCATTATTGTTTATTTGAGAGAAAGTGTTCTCCAGCAGAGTGCTATGTGGGTGGGGATTATCTCCCTTGCTTGCCTCATTGTGTATCTCTTAAAGTAAAAAGTGTATATTCATATTCATACAGATTCAAAATTTTTTTTTTTTTAATTAAAGCAAAGGTGGACTTCTGAATCATGGACAAACCAGAATTCTTGCCCACCAGTGTAAGTTACATTTCTTCACATTTGGACTGTTTAATGGGCACATATATATCATACAATGACTAGTTAAAAAAGAAAGCAAAATTATATATTTAGCTATGATTGTGAACCATAGAAAAATTCATATGCATATGGATAGCCTGAAAATTACTATACCAAAATTGAAATAGCTTTAGTGATAAGACAGTAGAATTATAGGTAATAGTTCTTTGGATTTTTAAAAAAATATGTTTTATATTTTCCTGAAAAAGTGAAAATATTTCTTTATTTGGAAAATTTAGCTATATGCATTTATTAAAGAGATATGTAAATTTTCATCCTTGTATAATTCATATAGTTAAATTTAAGGATAATTATGTTTGTGCTTTAATTTCGAGAAATATGACAATTTTGTCCATCTTAAAATCATTTTATTTTTGGTTTAGAATATAATTTATGTTTTATATATATGTTATTTTGACTTTTAAAATTTAGAATAATATTATTTTTATATTCTCTCAAGTATTTTAGATTAGAGAGCTTCTTTGAAAATAGAAATTAAAAACTTAGTAATTTACTAGGCTGAACCACACAATATTGACATTTCTGAAGATCAAAATTAATAAACATCAACATTTATGTGGTTCTATGTGATAGATTACCTGTATGCTCATCTTGATATAAAAAATAGAGTTAGATGCAAGCACTAGATTCAAGATACTGAGTATGTAACAATGGCTGTGTCACTTGTATGCAGAGAAATGTTTAAGAACTGGTTTTCTGAAAGTGTATTATAAGTTTATTGTAAATTTTAATTGTTTATTATAAAGAAATTTAGGCATATATTAAGTTGATTATAGCTTTTACTGATATAAAGGACATGTAGCAATCAATTTGCAAATACTGACCAAATATATACAGTAGATTCCATGTAGCCAATGGATTTTCACAGAATTCTCTCTCTCTCTCTCTCTCTCTCTTTTTTTTTGGCTGAACTCTGTATCTCTAACTAACCTATGGTGCAATTGATGAACTAGTGTAGTTCCAACATGAATACTGGTTAATATTTTTATTTACTTTAAAATTACATGAGTGATTTCTTTGCTGAGTCAAATGATAGTTTTGAATACAAAATCATGTTTCTTCAGTGTATTTTGGGGCTATTCACTGTGACAGCTATAGACATCATATAATTTTAGGTTGAATCTGCATTATTAACATTTTCTCCACGACTTTTTAAAGTTTCAGAAATCAACAAAATGTTAAACCAAGTCCTGATTCATAGCATTTGTCAATTTCAGTGTAAATGATCCCACTAAGGCTGATTTCAGTGTACCTATATAACATCACTGAGCACAGAATTCGAAAGAGATGCACACTATTACACTTCCTCTTTTCATAGAGATAGGCTAGACATAGATAATCTCTAGAGCACAGATAATAGTGAAGTACAGTGAAATCATCAGGAAGTGATGAGTTGTAAGTATTTTGTTTTTAATATAATTTAATTATAAATTTATATGTATTTTTAATGATGAATGTGTTTAACAACCAGTTTGAAAAATTACTGAACATTTAACAAAACCCTATCACAAGCCTGTAGAAGTCATGCACCATTGGTTTCAGTGTACCTATTTATAAAATATGTAACATGTAAGATTTGCAGTGATTAAAGTTTCATGTTAAAAAGTTATGGGATACATAGGTTATTTTTTTCAGGGTCCCACGACTTGATTTGGGAAGCCTCGTTGACTCTGATGAGGTAATTTTTATTTAGTATTTAATATAATAAACATTAAAACAATATCACACATAGCATATAAGAAGTATCATTAATTTTATTTTTCAGGATAATTTTTCATATATTCCACTGAGTACAGCAGACCCGCAAAATTCATCTTCTACTCTTGGTTGGATCACACCATGTCAAACAACATACACTCAGCACCATCTAAATGAATTGGTTAGTATTTACTTGCTTATCAGTTTTCAGAATTACAGTAAGCATTATTAACGCTGAATTTAATCTCTTAATACAATTAAGAAATTTTATTATGTTCAGTCTATGTTCTGCCAAGTTTAAATATTTTACATGTTAAAATACCAAACAATAATGTTGATAAAACAATTTTTACTTGTTTTACATTTTGTCACACATTGAAATTGGTATTTTAAAATATTTAAATGAAATCAGTAAAGTACAGGTATATCCTAATATAGAATTGAGGAATTTTTAAAATATAGCAAACTCTTAGATCAGATCTTGCTAGTTTAGCAATGTAAGACTGGCCTCTTGGAAACTGATTCATACTTTAGGCTGCTGGGATACTGTGGAGTAAGTAGTTATGCTCATTCCAAGTTGTCTACTTGGACGTGTTTATGTTTTAGTCATACCTAGTGTTTTATTCACAATGTGAATATAGATTCTGACTAGCATAGGAGTAGGGCTTTTCTGTTTTTGTTAGTCTTTTCATATAGCTGGCTCTATTCATGTTCTTAGTTTCATTTTGGAAAATTGCATGAATAATATCCTGAAGCTTTGTTTCATCCTTCTCATCCGGGTTAGACATAAATATCCTCAACACTTTTCAAGGGTTGGATTGGCTTTATAAAAAGCTCCTTTTGGAGTCTGTCCCTCCCTGGGTCAATACAATATGCTCTTGTATTTGTATAGCACTTCTTTTAGGTTTCTCTTATTCACTGACTCTATTAATCTCTCACTTGCATGGAAATGTGGTAGGGAACCAAATAATATTTAGGTCACTGTTAAGATACTGGGAAAATAGAATGAAGGCTTCTGTAAGCACATGCTTTACTGAATGGCACCAAAATGGTTCAAAATATTTTTTGAGTAAAACTTTGATTTCCTTGAATGCAAATTCAAATGAGGACATTTGTTTACTTTTGGTTTAAGAGAAAAACAAATTTTATTTGAAAATATTTTCATGTTTGCAAATAGATAGAATATCTTGATATTCTAGAAATGACAACTAGTGCTTCTCAGTATTAGTGATCTTCAATTGCTATGTCTATTATTAAAAAAAAAAAGATAAACAGTGGAGTTCTTCTGGGGCAGGGAAGAAAAGCTTATCTAAAACTCCTAAGAACAAAGATGAGTCAATTTTTCTCCTCTTAAATTCTACTGGAACCAGAATGGATCTTCAGATAGGAAACAAGGTATAAGCTTACTGGTATTTAAGATAAGTGCCCATTCTGAGCAGTTCCGTTTGCTCTGATTGGTCAGTGATGCTGTCTGTACCAGTTGAATGTCTTAAATACCATCTCTGCTTAGAACATTGACTATAATTGTCATTGCAAAGAAATAAATGCTAAGGTAAATAATAAACCTGTTAATACCAATCAGGAAAATTAATATTTTTTTTTCTGATAGCATACTATTTCTTTTTACCTATAGAATCAGAACATAATACCTGAAAATTTGCCAGCACCAATGGGCAAATATAAACTAAAATATCAGCAATATAAAACTGAAATAAAAGAGGGCTCTAAGCAGTATAGTCAGAGAAATACAGAAAATACAAAATCAAATATTACACATCTACAGTCTAAGAAACAAGATAGATGAAAAGGTAATGTATGAGGCTTTAAAAAATTCTAATGAAATTGAAAGAAAACTGCACATATTGCAGAAGTCTTTTTTTGGGTGATATGTCTTGCTATTAGTCATAGTAAGTGTAATATTTAACAGTTATTTCCATGTATCAAGGACTATTGTAAATATTTTACTTACATTATGTTCTTAAGAAATATAAAGGGTTATTGTTCTCATTTTCTGACACAAAAGTTACAGCCACATAGTTTAGTCATTGTTTCTCTGTTAGAAGTTTTTCACGTACCTTGGGATTAGAAATAATACAGTATTATGTATGTTGTTGATGTAGCTGTCATGAACTCAGTTGGTCGGACAATCTAAATTTCAAAATTGATAAGTAGTTTGAGACTTTATAGTGATCCTGTTTTGTGCAAAATCTACCATCACTTCATTACTGTCTTTTGTCTCATTATGGAAAATGTTTTTTTAACATCATGAATTGCTGAAATTGTTGTTTTTATGTAATATTAATTAGGTATAAGCTCACTATTAATGATTATAATAATAAATTAAACATAATTGTAATGGCTTTTATAATCATACAGGAAAAGTCTTGCTTTTTGGAAGGAATAATTTAAAAAATACTTTATGATACTACTGGTCATAAAGAGGAGAATATATAGATAGAATTTTTAATTCAGTTAACTTTCTATGAGAATGATATGTTTTCAGGGAAGTTTTAATGTTGTATTTGCTTAGCATTTTCCTGTAGGTAAAATAATAATAATGATAAATTTATAAGTAGGTATGACATGTCAGCTATCTTTTAAATCTATTTAGGAACTCTCTAGAATTAAATAAATCACATAGTGTTTAGGTGAAAGAGTAACAAAATTAATGGGATTATTTGGTCCGTCTTATTTTAAAAACATTTTACCAGACCCACATATCAACACACAAATATCATAATCTGGTGTCTGTAATACTAGGCAAGATAATTTCATAACATTTTAGCATCTCATCATGTATTGTTTGCAGGATACACCAAGGGATATTTAGATCACTGTACAGATGTTGAGAAAGCAGAATCAAGATTTCTCTAAGCACATGCTTTACTGAGTGGCAGCAAAATGGTTCCAAATTTTTTTTGAATTAAACTTTTATTTCCTTGAATGCAAATTCAAATAAGGTCATTTGTTTACTTTTGGTTTAAGAGAAAAACAAATTTTCTTTTCAGGTATTTTTATATAATTGTTAAGTATATAGTAAGAAAAAAGAGTTTCGTAGAAGCCAATATGCACAGAAATTCTTCTGGAAAATATGCTGCTTTGCCTCTTTGATTTTTATATTAAAGGTGTGAAATTATTAAGTTTAACATGTTTTTAGTGGTCTAACAGAAGAACTTCTGTTTAAAAAGTATTTCTGTAGATTCTATATGTAATAATTTTGTACCTAAGGGGTTTGAGGAACTTATTTGATGTCTTTTTAAATGTATACCATTATGAGAATCAAAACTGCTATATAAATGCTCTATTAGTGAATTCTATTACAATTACGTGAATTAACACTAGTAATATCTGGAAATAAAAGACATCCCTGATTATCAGAAATATAAGCCCCTCTTTAAAGCAGGGATCAACATGTAAATTTATTCTCTTTACTGGTAAAGCAAAGCTAAGATTAGATATATTTAGGATCCAGGGCAAGAACTAAAGGCTGTAGTTGCTAACTAATCAGTCTGATACATGAGTCAACTGATAACCAGTTGAACTGTACAATAGAAATTTGACTCTGCTTTATTCTTGTCTTAGTTCATTTTGTGTTGCTATGAAGAAATACCTGAGGCTGGGTAATTTATAAAGAAAGAAGGAGGGTTTAAGAAATATTGAGGAGGACAGTGTGGTCAGAGGAGGGAGAGCAAGCGAGAGTTGGAAAGAGGTTGGTCAGAGAGTTAAAGGGCGATTGGGAGGCAGATCAGGGAGGCCAGACAAGCCATGTAAGGACTTCAAGAATCTGTTGGCTAGAAAGTTGAAGATTGGACACCTGGTAAGGGCTTCAGGTTGCTTTCACTTATGGCAGAAGGTGAAGGGAAGCCAGCATGTGCAGAGATCACAAAGCAAGATAGGAGGCAAGAGAGCATGTGGAGATGCCAGGCTCTTTTGAACAACCAGCACTCTTGGGAAATACTAGAATGAAAACCCACTCACCTCTGAGCGACAGCACTGATTTATTCCTGAGAGATCAGCTTCCATGACCCAAACACCACTCCAACATTGGGGATTAAATTTCAACATGAAGTTTAGAGGGACAAACATCCAAACCATGGTAAATTTCTTTTGTTGGGTTTTCCTTCCACTTACTATAAAAAGATGATGAATCTCTTATTGTCAGATTGTTTTGTTACCTAAAACACAAACTTATGTATATATTTTTAAAATAATGAAACATCTTTAAATTAGACATGAAAATCATTAAACTTCAATTTTGTAGAAAACAATCTTAATTTCCTAATTTTAACTAATCATTATTCATTTCAAACACATCTTTTTCACCTAAAAAAACCTTTCAGTTTTAGAAATGTTTGATATAATTTATATATTTATTATTTAATCTTTCAACAAATAGTTATTGAATGGTTAATTTTATGCAACATACCTGTCCAGGCACTCAGGTCAGTGAATAAAACAGACATAAACTTCTGCCTCTAAAGAGCTTATATTCTAATGGAAGGAAATGGTAAGGAGGAAAGAAAATCAATCAATGGAATGATTAATCCGTCAACCCAGCTTGTATGACAGATGGTGAAAAGTGTGGTATATAGAAGGGATCTAGGAAAGTCAGGGCTTTGGGTATGGGGTAGCAATTTGTATAGAATCAACAGGGGAGATTTTTAGATAAGAAAGCATTTTAGGATACACCTGAAGAGCAAGCTAGTCAGGAGAAACTCTATGTTATGAAGTAGGAGTGTTTAAGAACTAGTGAGGAGGACAGTATGGTCAGAGGAGGGAGAGCAAGGGAAAGATGGAAGGAGGTTGGTCAGAGAGTTAAAGGGAGTTTGGGAGGCAGATCAGGGAGGCCACACAAGCCATGTAAGGACTTTGCCTTTTTCTATGAGGCAGAAAGCTACTTTGTTCTTTTCAGGATGGGCTTTATTGAGAATAGGTCAAAGCTGGAAGCAGGAAGCCCTCTGAGGATGTTGTCATGATAACCCAGGCAAGATTTGATAATGATGGCTTGGACCTAGGTGATGGTAGCTGCAGACTTGGAACTTTATAGTGTCTCACGAAGTCGTATTGTGCATAGATTCTGAAGCTAGGGCTAAGAAGATTTTTGAATGGATTGGTTGTAGACTTGAGAGAAAGGGAAACCAAGAATGACTCTACAGGGATGGATGTGCGGGACATTAAACCAGGCACAGAAAGACAAATACTGTATGTTTTCACTTATATGTGGACTCTAAAAAAAGTTGAACTCACAGAAGCAGAGAGTACCATATTGGTTGCCAAGTACTCAGGGGGTTAGGAAAATGGGGACTTGGTCAAAGGATGTGAACTTCCAGTTATAAGATAATAAGTTAGGAGCAACTACTCTATTTGTGGTGACTATAGTTAATCATATTATATTTTTTTCCTAGAAATTTGATAATAAAGCAGATTTTAAGTGTCTTAATGACACACACAAATACAAATGTTAACTATGTATGGTGATGGATGTATTGATTGTGATAATTATTACATAATCTATATCAAATCATTATGTTGTACACATCGCATATTTACAATTTTTATTTTCAATTAAATATTTTATAATAAAAAAGAATGGCTCCAAGGCTTTTGGCCTAAGAAGTTGCCATTAACTGGAGGCAGGGAAAGACTGTAAGCAAATCTGGTTTTGGAAGGTTGAATTTGAAGTATTAAGTAGAAATATCAGTTTTCCTTTTGTAAAAGGTTGAAAGCAAGCTGATACAAAATAAAATTATTTCGAAAGTGTTTTCAACCTGACCTTAATACAGTGCTTTGCTTGTATTTAAATATGTGCATTAAATTAATCTGCTTGATTTACCTTATATAATGCTAAGCATCTTTTTTGGTGCTTGTTTAAATAAATCACTATTTAGAAAGAGTATATTAGTAAGTAAATAAAATGATGAAGCATCCTCATAAATTGATTTTTAAATAGTAAATATCCAAGTAAGATTCATTATTTATTTATTGAATAAATATTTATCGAGTGCTCACTTGGTGTTATCCTGTTCTGCCACCAGGGATACAGCAATAAAAATGACAGACAAGGTTCCTGCTTTCATGGAACTTACATTAGGAGAGGCAGACAATAAATCCTAAATAAATATACAACAAAATTTTATATAGCAATCAAAGGTCATAAAGACAGATTGGAGTATGAAGATAGAGTGTGACCTTTCAAGGAAGATCTAAAGTAAGAATAAGCCCTGGAGGAAGAAGTCTTGAAAGCTGTTAAGTTTTTGATAAGCTGCTCTCCTATTGGAACCTTGTTTTTGTTTTGCTTAGGTAATGTAAGCACATCTCATAGTCAAAGAAAAAATTGATGCTTATCTCTTAGCATACCAAAGAATCCTTTACCTCAAAGATTACACCCATGTTTTAGTATTTTATTTCTGAATTTAATTTTATAATGGAGTAGACGTGCCCACATTTATTAATTGTTCACAGATTCAAATTGGACAATAATAATAGTAGTTGCTTTTATTTAATGCTTACTGTATCAAGTAGTTTTGATAAAGTGTTAGCCATGTATTATCTCTTAACCCTTTTTGTTTCTGGTGAAGTAGTTCCGATTATTAATTAGCATTTTATTTATGAGTAAACTGAGGCACAGAGAGGTCATCTAGCTGGAAAATGGAAGAACTGGACTTAAATATAAGCATTCCGATTGTCAGAGCCTGTACTTTTAACTGCTGTACAAATAGTCACTGAGATATTCTGTGGTTATCTCTTCCCATATTTTGTTAAAAAAAAACATTCTAAATATGTATATGATGGTTCATTTATTTCTTTCATGCGTAGTGTGTGCAACATGAAGAAGCCAACACAGCTGACATTACAACTCTGGATAGGAAAGCCCTCTTACAGCAAGGTTATGCAGACAATTCTTGTGATACACAACAGAGGGCAAGAAAATTGTACGCAGTAAGTTGTCAGCGTTTTTACTTATTTGTTGAGCCATTAATCTAATTTGCTTTCCAAGATTTTAAAGATTTTAAATGGAATAAATAATTGCAACAATTGAGTTTGGACTCAGGTGAATATTCATTAATGAAAAATTGAATCTTCATTTTTATAAATGATTGGTGTTTGATATATATTCTGTAGAAAAATTGTCTTCAATCTTTAGGTGTTTGAAAAATTTAGTTTTTACTCTTCAAAATGTGAATTGGCCGCTATTTATGTTAGTGAGTTTATTTTGTGTCACCTCCCTTCCCCCAAAAGCAGCCTGGTTATTTTTTGAGTAATGAGCTACTAACAGATAAATTCAGGCCAGTGAAGGAAATTCCAGAAATAAGTTATTTTTCTTTTTTAGGAAAAGTGAAACAAAACTCCAGATGCTCAATATTAACTTTAAATTATGTATTTTACAAAATCAGTTAGGTTGATGAGTATTGTTTAGACCGGTTGGGACAAATAGATAATTAAAACATTTCTGAAATGTTCTGGGGTAAGGGGACCAAGCTGCTTGGAATTGGAGCTCACTGGCCACACCAGACACCCAAGTGATTAAAGTTATAGGCATACTTAAACAGATTGATGGAATGCCACTGTGGTAGCTAATTCGGGACAACTCTAATTTTGATAGCATAAATAGTAACAAAGCAATGTGGATCTAGTTAGTTACATTACTATTATCATTGAATGGAGATTCAATATATATTTTATCTGGGTCACAATCATACAGAATCAATTATGTTCTGAATTAACAGCAATGTATAATCAATCCCTGGACTAGGTGAACTGATTTTCTGTGGATGTCCCAAGTTGCAAATTTGTGAGTTGTTTTACTTAAATCACATGCATATTATTTTTTCATGCCTATTATTATTTGGATATTTATGCTTAATAGAATAAGTGTTATCAGGATTATCCTAAAAATTAAAAAAGCTACTTTATAAGGAAAAATGGTGTTCCAAATAAAGCTTATTTTGATATATCCCTGAAGTTATATTTGAAATGCATATTACAATACTTAAGGCTCACTGAGTATTGTTCTTGATATAATTGAAAGCAGTGTGGATATTAATACATTTCTTTTTCTTTCTTTTCCTTACAACTACATTAAATAAAATGTATTTAAATTCATTTTCAAATTTTATTTTATTTTGGTAGTGCTCATTTAACTGTCTCCTGCTCCGGCTAAGGAAACATTTATATGAGTAAGCTTTCAGAGCATCTGAAATTAGCACCAATTTGTTTTAAAAATGTAGGTGGAAACTTCTTTATTTAATTTTAAACTACTTAAATGACAATAAAAGCAGTGAAACTATGGTTTTTATGCCCATCTCATCCAGCTTTTTTGTCATTTATAATGTTGATAGATCCTTGCACCAGTGCCACTTCTGCTTCTAATCTGCTTTGCATTTACACAGATCTCTAAATCAATGTGCCTATGGGTCATTGTAACCTTTCCTACAAAGTAAAAGCCACCCTAATCTTCAGCACTCAAGGTGGGCTTTCTGCATGGGCTCTGTGGTATTAATTAATCTCCCCTCTTTGGCTTGTGTCTGGGTTTTGCATCTATGTTCTGGCTGATGTAGATCTTTTCTGTGTATAATTTTAATGTTTTAGTCAGTGTCCACTTTATGAATCACTCTTACATATTAAAAAATACACGTTGCTTTACTTGTAGATTGTGCTAATTTTTAAATATTTTAATTGCTGTTTTAAATTTATTACTAAATAAAAATCTTATAAAGTGTCATGAGCTTAAAGAGTGACATAAGATGTATTAAATAGCATAAACTTTATATAGGACATATGTAAATGCATAAACTATATATGTTGAATTTCTACCAAACAAAAAACCTAAACTTAGTATAGGCTAAATAACATTTAAATAATGTTAACAAATAATAATGTTTAATAATAATTTAGTGTAGGCTAAATAACACTTTTATTTATCCTACATAAAATTTAGTTTTAACATTATTATTAAATTTTGTTTCAACATTACTATTAAAACTAAATTTAAGGCTGGGTGAAGTGGCCTAATACCTATAATCTCAGCACTGTGTGAGGCCAAGTCTGGTGTATCACTTGAAACCAAGAGTCTGAGACCAGCCTGGCCAACATGGTGAAACCCCATCTCTACTAAAAATACAAAAGTTAGCTGGCTGTGGTGGCGTATACCTGTAGTCCCAGCTACTCAGGAGGCTGAGGCATGAGAATCGCTTGAATCCCAGAGGCAGAGGTTGCAGTGAGCCATGGTGGCACCACTGCATACCCGCCTGGGTGACATAGCAAGACCCTGTCTCAAAAAAAACCCCCCAAAATGAAATTGAGTGTAGGCTAAATAACATTTAAATAATTGTGCCCAACTTTTCCAATTTTCTTACAAGTTTTTACATTTGTTTTATGATGTCTTTTTTTTTTTTTTTTTTTTTTTTTTTTTGAGACGGAGTTTCGCTCTTGTTACCCAGGCTGGAGTGCAATGGCGCGATCTCGGCTCACCGCAACCTCCGCCTCCTGGGTTCAAGCAATTCTCCTGCCCCAGCCTCCTGAGTAGCTGGGATTACAGGCACGCACCACCATGCCCAGCTAATTTTTTGTATTTTTAGTAGAGACGGGGTTTCACCATGTTGACCAGGATGGTCTCGATCTCTCGACCTTGTGATCCACCCGCCTCGGCCTCCCAAAGTGCTGGGATTACAGGCTTGAGCCACCGCGCCCGGCCCCTTATGATGTCTTTAGACATTCTTATTTGATATATTGTCTCAGTTTTAAATAAAACACTTTTCCTAAGGTTAGAAAGCCTCGATCTTAATTTTATTTATTGGAGTGATCAATGGGGATGACAGTAATTTACATTCTAAAAACAGAAAAAACTTTATTTTGACTTCTTAATTTTTTAACCTCTTTTATTTGCCCCTTTAAAGATACACTTTAGTTATTATAGCTGCATGATAATCTAATTGAAATTGAATGATTGCCAATATTTTAATTAGACATGACCCAAAAAGATAGTAAAACTAGTTTCAGATGAATTGGAAAAGTGAAAAATAGTATGAAGAAAGCTTAATCAAGCTAGGAATTGAGAAAAATTTATTAAATATTATTGATGCATTATATGCAAAGAAAATAATATACTTTTGATGATGAGAGTTTTTGCTTTGTTTTTCCTTGTTTTTTATTTTTGATGAAAGGTATTACAATTCAAACTTAGTTTTGCCTTCTTTTGCTGTGAATAGTGTTAGACTAAACTTATTTTTTGTCAGTGTTGGTAGTCTTCTTGGAGAAGGTTAAGATGCCTTTTGCAGGGAGGAATAGAGTGGAAGGATGCTGTAGTCTCTTCCTCCTTTAGTGTGCTCCATTAAATGCAAAGGCAGCTCATAAAAATTCTGATGATTTTTACTGAAATTCAAGTGCCTTACTTTTTAGAAAGTAAATGATATTTATAGATTAAATGATAGGAATTTAAATGTATTAATGATGGAAAGTAATCTATAATCTATAATATTAACCTATTTTCATCTATATTTATGATGGAAATCAGAAATATTTAATTTATGTTTTAGGACTTTTGTGTTAGGTACTGTATGGTTCTGCTTTATGGACGGTGAAATTGTTTTTGTTTAATCTTCCCAGGAAATTGTGGCTGCAGAGAAGAAGAAACAGACTGTTGCAGAACAAGTGATGATAGACCACTTATCTAGGTGAGAATTAGTAACTAGTAATAGAAATCAATTCAGAAAGTTTTCATTAAATTTCTTTTCATGCATGACACTCATATCCTTGGTCAATTAAAGGGGTGGCTAACTGAGAGGTTCCCAAATTTTCTCTGTTCACTGCACTGTTAGTGTTTTAGTAATTTTTTCCCAGCACTCTTAAACTAATAGAAATACCTACAGTTCTATTTTTTAAGTATTTTTGTCTAAACAACTTAAGAAGTATTTATTTCCTAACAACAAATGACCATTAAAAATATACATAAAGTAAAAGAAGGTATCTTTACTTTATTCTTACTAAGGATCTGTACACATCTTTTGGGCACTGTACAGTCTCTCAAATCCTAGAGTTGTTTACAATGCTGCCACTTTCACTTTATATTCCATATTGATTTTCACCTGATATTTGCTTATTATAATAGCAACTATAGAAAACTCAGCTCTGCAAAGATATAACATAATTGAAGGAGTATAGTGTGCTGTCTTGTTGAAACTGTAAACTACCCTGAGGCTGAACTAGCAGTTTACCTGGTGTGCAAGTGATGTCAAGTATCATTGAGTTTCCCTCAAAAATTAAAAATATCCCACAGTGCTCCTGTAAGTTCACTGTGGTACCTCAGGGTGCCTTGGTGCAGTTTGAGAACTGTGAGATGTTAAGAATTAAAAAACCCCTTAGAAAACTAAAGTTGTAACATATGCAGTGCTGAATTGCATGATAGTATGACAATATGGTAGAATTTCTGAAGAGGCTGGAATAATTTACTTCAAGGAAAAAGTAAGACTTAGCTTTGAAAAAACTGTTTAGTTATGGGCAGAAAGAATGAATGACAGAAAGAACGATGCATGTTTCTATATGCATATTTTTCAGTAAATTCTTTGAAAGAAGTATACCTAAAGTCGCCCATGTCCCTTTTCCCGTTAACTTAGCGTTTTCACCATCACCATGCCTCCAACAACTTTTTTTCCATAAGTAGTGACATCCATATTGCCAGACTAATGATTTCTCAGTTCTCATCCACTTGACCCATCTGCAGCAGCTGTCTTATTTGAAATTTTCTTGTCTTTGAAACAGTGCTTTTTTTTTTTTTTTTTTTTTTTTTCTGCATGGCTTCCTGCACGAGACACTAGACTGTTCTCCTTCCCCCTTTCTCTCTTTCTTAGAATCTCTCCTGGTTCTTCTTCATCCTCCCAGTCTTTAAAAGTGGGTGTGCCCAAGAGCTCAGTTCTTGGAACTCTTCTGTATTTGCTTTCTAAGTGATCTCGTTCAGTATCATGCCTTTAAGAACCACCTATGTTCTGGTGGTTCTTCTCTAAGAATCTGATGCTTCTCTAAGATTTCAGTTTAACTTTCTCCAATCTGGGTTTCTGAAATTTTATTGCCCTCTCTCCCCCCATGACCAAATCTTCCATTTTCTTCCATGGCAACTCAATTCTTCATGTTATTAAGACATAAAATGCCGGTGATGCTTTTGATCCCTCTCTTTTGATCCCTCTCTTTTGGTCCCTCTCTTTCTCTCAAATACTAAATCTAGCTTGTTAGCAAACATTCCCAGTCCAACTATCAACATAGATTTACTTGCTTTGCTGCCACTACTCTGTTCAAACTTACCTTGTGTCTCCTGGATTATTTCAGGTACTACTTAACTGGTCTCATTGTTTCTGGATTTACCTCTTACTGGTTTATTTTCAACCCAGCACCCCACAGTTAATCTATTAAAAGGCAAGCCAGATAAAACCCTCCAGGAATTTCTCATTTCAGTCATAGTGAAACCTATAAGACCTACATATTGATTATGTGTCACCACATAACTCAGTAGCTTAGGTTAGGCATGCGGTGGCTCACGCCTGTAAGCCCAGCAATTTGGGAGGCTGAGGCGGGTGGATCATCTGAGATCGGGAGTTCAAGACCAGCTTGACCAACATGGAGAAACCTTGACTCTACTAAAAATACAAAATTAGCCAGGTGTGGTGGTGGGCACCTGTACTCCTGGCTACTTGAGAGGCTGAGGCAAGAGAATCACTTGAACCTGGGAGTCAGAGGTTATAGTGAGCCGAAATTGTGCCATTGTACTCCACCCTGGGCAGCAAGAATGAAACTCTGTCTCAAAAAACAAAACAAACTCAGTAGCTTAAAAGAACAGTAATTTTTGCTCATGTGTCTTTAGGTTGGCTATCAAGGTTAGGCTTGGCCTGATGGGCCTTACTTTTTGTTTTGGCCAGTTGTATATGAGCAAAAGCAATCTTAGGTTTAATATAAGCCTTAAGTGATCTCATGTGTTTCCATTTGCCCTTTAGTGTTTCTGCCACCTTTGAGAGAAGAACACTGCTTGGCTAGCCTGATGGTCTCAAGAAAAAGGTCCTTCTACAAATGCCACTGAACTACTTAGCTGAGACCATCCTAGATAAACAGATTTCCAACTAACCTGCATTTGTATGAGTTAGTTCAATTGAGATTAGCAGTCTCATAGCTGTGTGTAACTGACCAAAGCAATCAACAGTTCAAGGTCAAGGAGTAAGGAAGTACACTCCACCTACAATGAAGTCATAGCAAGGATATGGATCAGGATGACTGAAATATTTGGGCCAATAACACAATCTTTCCAAGCCCACCATTGGATCTTGGACTTTGGACCTTGGACTTCTCTCCCTCTTACCTGCTCTGCTCTAGCCATTTGACTTCTCCTTGTTCTGGAGCATATCTGGTTCCATTCCTGTCTTAGGTACTTTGCATTTATCTTCCCCTCTTCTTGGAATGCCTTTTCCCCAGAAATTTATATGGATGCTTACCCATTTTAGCTCATATCTTTATTTAGAAGTCACTTTGATGAGGCCTACCTTGGCCACTAAATAAATAAATTTATGATCCCTTACTCAAAACTTCCTATCTTCTTACCATTTCATTTTTTCCTCCATTGGGACATGTAATTCATGTTACATTTTCTCTGTTTATCACATTATTTATCTTTTGACGTCTTCAGAATGTGAGCTTCACAAGGGCAGAGCACTTTGGAAGTTTTGCTCGTTATTGCAGTCCCATTGCCTAGTCTTGTAGCTGTATAGTAAAACTTGTTGAATAGGCAAATGAATGAACTGGAAAAGAGGACTTAGAGTCAGCAGATTTTGGTTTTAAGCTTAGCTGTGTGACTAATTCGCTATTTGAGCTTTCATATTTTCCTTCTCTATGTCTTGATTTTTGCTTCTGCCAAATTAACATTAAGATTTCTTATAACTCTAACATTCCGTGTATGTATATTTAACACAGAACTGATAAATGGAATGTGAGAATAGAATAGGTGCCACTTTTTTATAAATGCCAGCCTTTTGCATTTGGGAAATTTAAAAAATATCTTAATGCTCAATTTAAAAAGAAGATTTGCTTCCTAACTTGGCACACAAATGAACGGAATCTACAGTGTATGGTAGAGATGACTAAAGCTTTTCCTGAATGTTCCAGTGATAGAAATAACTCATAAATTCATAATTTCTCCTATCTTTAAATTGCTGTTTCATCTTCATAGTTTTGAAGGGCCATGATACCCTTTAAAAATGTCTGCTCATTTATTCTTTTATCTAGTTAATTATTAAATTTATTCAGACCTAGGGTTTTGCCAAGGAAGTGGAAAACTCCAGAGAGGGCATGATTGTTAAAAGATGTGTAGAGGATTATATTTTGATGAATCATGAAACCCAAGCTGGTTAAGAAGGAAAGTAAGTGTTACTGGATGGTGCCTTATAGTTCCAGGTTCTTGGTGTCCTGAACAAACAGCTGGAAGAGACACACACAGATAACAAAGCAAAGCAGCAAAAATGTATTAGCTGTATTATACTCTCAGAGCGGGAGAGTGGGCTGACCTCTGTGAGATGAGATCAACCTTAGTTTGGTACTTGGGGTCCTTTTGTGTGTTGTTTTTTTTTCTTCTTCCCAAGGATGCCTAATCTCTAGCTAGTGTCTGCCTTTTGATTGATAGGTGTTGCTTAGTTACTTTGGTCCTTGTGAGTTTGTGTGTCACCTCCATCCTATAATTTTAAGTACATACATGATATGCAGTCCATACGCATAAACCGTAAGTAGCTAATTACCATATAGGGTTGTTTTAAGGATACTTCTTCTTTTTAATGGGCATGCCCATCTCTGAGGAGCTGCCTCTGACACATTTGGTCCAAATCTAGCTGGCCATGGGGGATCCTTATTCACTTTTTAATCTCACTTTTGTTTTGGCTGCTGAACCTCTGCTTCTTATCTCACTTCTTGCTCACTCATTCCTTCACCTTGCTTCTGCTCTCTTGCTTTTACTCACTCTGTCCTTTTTCCAACTTTTAATTCCTTTTGCTATTTTCCTGAATAATTTCCCCTATTTTCCTGCCTCATAAGGATATGAGAATAACCTATCATTCTTACCCTTAAAATAATATTATTAAAAACAAAAACAAACCAAAACTGTTACTGGTGGAGGGTGTCTAGGTTCTTTGTGCTTTGAACAAAGAATTGGACAAAACACAAAAGCAAAGCAAGGAAAGAATGAAGCAACAAAAGCAGGGATTTATTGAAACTGAAAGTATTCTTTAGAGGATGGGAGCAGCCTTGAGCAAGTGGCTCAAGGGCCTGATTGCAGAATTTTATGGGGTTTAAATACCCTTTAGAGGTTTTCCATTGTTACTTGGTGTACACCCTATGTAAATGAAGAAGTGGGCTGCTATCAGTCTGATTAGTTGTAGAAAGTGACCAATCAGTAGCTGAAGTGAAGTTACAAACTTAACACCCTATGCAAACATCTTATTGGTTGTGGAAAGTGACCAATCAGAGGCTGAAGTGAAGTTACAAAGTTATCTTTTTATGCAAATTTAGACTTGGCCTACAATTAGCCTGACTGTTCATGGGAGGGGACTAGTCAGAGGTACTTCCAATTGTTCATTTGCCACCCAGAAAAGGGAGATGAGAGAGTAGCCTCTGGTCTTTCTGTTACTTGGGCGTGGAAAGTTGGGGTTTTCCTTTTGATTTAGTTCTAGGAAGTCAGCGTGAATGGACCTTAGGTTTCCTGCTTCCGGACCCTATTTTCCTGCCCTAAAACCACAATATGACACCCATGTTCCTTGTATTATTAATTGAATCTCATTTCACACTGTTCAGTTACTACATTATCTTTCTACTTCATGACTTCAAATCCAATTAGTTTTTAATTCTATCAGTGTTTCTTGAATTTGTTATTTCTACTTTGTCTATTTATTTACTTGTTATTTTGTTTGTGTTCTCTCGTATTTATGTATTTTATAGTTTTGGGGTACATGAGATAATTTAATAATATAATTTGTAAAGATCAAATCAGAGTACTTGGGATATCCATAGCCTTAAATATTTGTCTTTTCTGTATGTTAGAAACATTTGAATTATTCTCTTCTAGCTACTTTGAAGTGTACAGTATGTTATTGTAACTATAGTCACCCTACTGATCTATGGAACACTGGATCTTTTATCCTCTGTCAAACCATGTATTGACCACCACTTTAGTGCAGACCTTTACTATCACTTTTCTAGCCCATTGCAATGCCACCTGATGGGCTATCATGCCTCTATATTTATTCATAGTCAGTAAAATATGCAATAAGGGAGGAATTAGGAGGCAAAGCCTCACCTATTGAGTGCTTCTATAATACTTATTAGGTAATTGCTACTCTCCTAAACAATATGTACATGGTAACGAATTTATTTAATCTTCACAGCAGTTCTGTGTGGGAGATACCATTATTCTTTCTTTTATTCATGAGAAAACTTTGGCCCAAAGCAAAATGACTGGATAAGGCCACACGGCTAATTATTGCGGCAGGCAAGGATTGAATCCAGGCTGCCTAGTTGGAGTTCGTACTCTCATCCGTTACATTGTGTGCAGTCCTCAGGTGTGTTTTTACTGTGCTATCTGCTCCTGTGGCTGTACACATATTGTTCCTTTCTCGTGGTAACCTTACTCCTTCTCTTCTGAGTGCTAACTTGTACTCAGCTTTTTTTTTCTTTTTTTCTTTTTTTTTTTTTTTTTGATTGTGTCATAAGAATCTTTAATGTTTACTTTAACATTGACTCATGGTGAGGTTGTAAATGTGTTGAGTAAAGTGTGCCAAGTGCCCACATTGAGACCTGTTTGGTTCAAATCAGTTCATTCTGCGAGGATGTTTTCTGTGCCCAGCAAGGACATGAAGAGAGGGGCCTTGACTTTTCTCTTGGAGGGCCTCCAGTGCAGCCCGAACACCTGGGCGAGGATGAGGCTGGTGAGCCTGAAGATGCCCCTCTACCACTTCCTGTAGCTGCCCATCCTTTACCATGTATGGAAACCAGATGATCATCATCTTCTGGTCCTTGACCAGCTCGTACCACACAAGCTCGTGCGCCCTCTGCACCAGCTGTGCCGGGTCAGACTGGGCCGAACAAGGGGTTTGGTGGGCGCTGTCCTCCTCTGCGGCCTGTGGTAGGGCCTTTGGGTCGGTGGGGGCCTGGGGCGGCTGTCTGGCCTAGAGGAGGGCTCTGCGGCTTTGCCAGGGTTGCGGACAGAGGAACCCCCATCAGAACCCCAGGGCTGCTGTGCACCTTGGAGCTGGAGGCCACGGCTGCAAAGTTGGAGTCGCTCAGATCCTTACTTTGTTCTGACCGATCTGCGCCGTCAGACAAGGGCAGAGTCTCTGCCTCCAGGAGCACTTTGAGTCTGCCCTCCCTCCACGGACTCCCGGAGAGGAAGTCTTGTACTCTCACCTTTTCAGAATCAGTGCAAATATCTCCTCTTCTAGGATGCCTTTCATAAACTGCTCTACGTCGTCTAGGAATTAAGTTATTCTCCTCTGTGTTTGTTCATTGAATTTCTGTTGTGGCATTTATCACTTTATATTCTTATTTTACTCTACCTACCCACCTCCCATATTATCAGAAACAAGCACTGTGTCTGCTTGTTTAAAGAATAGTAAAATGAAAACATGGAGCTCTTAGCTCCCTCCAAAATTTCAATTCAATTTTAGATAATACTGAAAAAAGAGGTGGGAATATTTACTTTCTTATGGGAAGTATTGTTTAATAAATCTTTTTAATAAAAATATTCTGACAGTGTTGTAAATTTGCATTTGGTATATGAACTTTTAGAACTGCTTATAAATATGTGAATTTTAAAGTAATTCATGATCACATTTAATTGTCAGACTTTTTATTTTCCTGTATAGAGCTGTAATCAGTGATCCAGAACAAAATTCAGCAATTGAGCAAAAGGAAAGTGATAACATCCTTCCAGACTCAAAGATAACACCTCTTCGATTCAGAAAAAGAACACTACATGAAACAAAGTAAGATTTTAATTACATAAAATGAAGATGCACTATGTTCTAAAAGTATTTTTAAAGTGTACTTTTTAGATTTAAAAATCTAAAAGTATTTTTAAAGTGTACTAATTGGAGCTTTTGTGTGTGTTTCACTTTTTTCTATATAAAGAAAAGTGGAATTTTTGAGTACATATCCCAGTTCTGCTACTTTAAGTTATTAGGGGCAATACCTTATTTTACTCTCTTTGCCCTCCCTATTTTTTATTTTTTAAGAAAACAAAGTCACAACCTTTGGGGATAATAGATGTGAAAATATGTAATATAGTGACCAAGACATTTTATGTGTACAATATATAGTGGCTAAATTTCATTGGCATATTAAAAATTGGTATTGATTAATTTTTTTTTCTTTTTTGCATTTTACTTTGTAGGTTTTTCAACCTTAGAATTGGTATGGATTTTACAATCCTCTGATGTAGTTTACTTAAATTCTTCAGCAATTTCACTGACATCTAACCTCAGCTTTAGTAGACATAAAACATCTACCAGTACCCACAGTAGCTTTTTTTATGTTTTCAGACTGCTGTAATTGTTACTACTTTCTTATCATTTTCTAAATCATGTTTTGTCTTATTCTTATTTTCTGAAAGCCCTCACTTTCATACATTTAAATATTTGGAAGCATCATGTGTTAGTTTCCTATTGCTGTAATAATTACCATGAGCTTAGTATTCTAAAACACAGATTTATTCTTTTGTTGTTCTGGAGTTTAGATGCCTAAGATCAAGGGATTGATAGGACTGCATTCCTTCTAGAGGTTGCAGGGGTGAAGCTGTTTTCTTGCCTTCTGCAGCTTCTAGAAGCTGCCTTCATTCCTTGGCTCATGGCCCCTTCCTCCATTTTGAAAGTCTGCAATAGCTGGTCACATGATACATCACTTGGCCCTCTTTTTCTGTAGGTAAATTTCTATGTTCCTCCAATAAGAATATGTGTGAGTGCATTGAATCTACCTGGATAATCCCAATAATCTCTTCATTTTAATGTTCTTAACTTATCACATATGCCACATCCCTTTTATCATATAATATATTCCCATTTTGCATTTCACTCTGTAAATGGAACATGCTTATGTTCCAAAGATAAGGATGTAGATGTGTTGGGCCAGGGGAGGTTGTCATTTATCTACCACACATCTAAATTTTCCTTTTTAAAAGTAAACTTTCTTTTTTTTTTTTTTTTTTTTTTTTTTGAGACGGAGTTTCGCTCTTGTTACCCAGGCTGGAGTGCAATGGCACCATCTCGGCTCACCGCAACCTCCGCCTCCTGGGTTCAGGCAATTCTCCTGCCTCAGCCTCCTGAGCAGCTGGGATTACAGGCACACACCACCATGCCCAGCTGATTTTTTGTATTTTTAGTAGAGACGGGGTTTCACCATGTCGACCAGGATGGTCTCGAACTCTCGACCTCGTGATCCACCCGCCTCGGCCTCCCAAAGTGCTGGGATAAAAGTAAACTTTCATTGAAATAAAACATACATTCACTGTGCATAAATTTTAGGTGTACAACCTAGGAATTATCAAAAACAGAACAATACTCATGTACCAAATGCCCAGATCAAGAAACAGGCAATCACCAGTACCCCAAAACCTCCCTTTATGCTGCCTCCCTGTTATTATTCATTTCCCCTGCCATACTAGGTTAACCTCTCTATTCTAATATAATAGATTAGAACTGCCTGGTTATGAAATTTGTATAAATGAAACTACAAAAAATATAGACTCTGTGTCTAGCTTCTTGTAATTTCTTTGTTTATTTAGTTGTATATACGATGTACAACATGATATTTTGATATACATATACACATAGTGAAATGTGTTTGGCTTCTTTTACCCAACATTATGTCTGGGAGCTTTATTCATGGTGTTATTTGTAGTTGTCTTGTTTTAAAAAAAATTAATTGTTCTATAGTATTTCATTGTACTACACACTACAACTTATTTATTCAGAGATTGATAGATATTTGGCTGTTTATGAATAGTGCTGCTATAAACATTCTTGTTCATGCCTTTTGGTGAACATATGTACTCATTTCTGCTGAGTATATACTTAGAAGTAGAATTGTTGGACCATTTAATATGCATATGCTCAACTTTAAAAGATGCAGCCAAATAACTTTCCAAACTGGTTGCTGCAGTTTACACTCCCACCAGTAGCAAGTATGAGTGTTCTTGCTGCACCATATCTTTGCCAGAGCTTCGTATTGTCTGCCTTTTTTAATTTTAGTTCTTCTTATGGATGTGTATTAGTGATTTTAATTTGCATTTCCCTGGAGACTAATGTAGTTGAGTACTTTTCCACATGTATATAGGCCATCAAGATATCCTCATACAAAATTTCCATTCAAGCCTGTTGAGTTGTCATTTTCATATTTATTTGTGGATCTTATTTACATATTTTAGAAATGAATCATTTTTCAACTATATTTGTCGCACATAGCTTTTCCTACTCGGTAGTTACCTTTTCATTCTCTTGATTGTGTCTGTCTTAAAAACTAAAGTTAGAAATAGGAGTTCCTAATTTAAACATAGGCCAGTTTGCTTATCTTTTCCTATATTGTCAATGTCCTTTGTATGCTCCTTAAAAAAATTTCACCTACCACTAAGTCATTTTCCTTCTGACTTGTAATGTCACATATGTCATATGTCAAGTTGTTACATGCATGGTTATGACATGACATGTTATATGCATGTCAAATGCATGGTTGATTTTCTAGACTTTTTCTTCAGTATTATCTGTTTCCCTGTGTCAATATTTTCCTATCTTAATTAGTATTGCTTTGTATTAAATACCTGCAACTTGTTTAAAGCTAACCTAGTTCCATGAAAAATCCAGTGGAGGTATTGATTAGAATTACTGAATTTGTAGCTTCCACTCCCCTTCTCCACCATTTATTCTTCCCAGAGGAGAAGAGTGTTCTGCTTCATAAATTTAGAAGGAAGCAGGAATTGGCATGGGTAGTGCAGCCCTTCTCCTCCCCCTTATTTTGGGAGGCAGCAGCCTGCAGAAACACACATTCTGCCCTGTGCATTGTTTTATAGGGTCCCTCCTCAGTGGAAATGAGTGGGTTAGTCTGTTTGATTATAGCGGTTAAGGGCTTAGCTTGTGGCTGCTGCATACCTAAGCCATGGTTTCTAATAGCTTTATCAGTACTAAAATTCATATTTTAATCATCAATTTTTCTGATTCTTCTTTACATATTGGAAAGGCACTTGGGTTCTTAAAAGGAATTGGGCACCTAAAACCCAACATGGCACCTTGCATTTTCTAGTATAAATACGTATCTACTTTTATCTTTATAAAAGATAAAAGTAAAAAGAAGACTATAGAAGAAGACTATAGGGCCCTTGAAGCTATTACTTCCATTTATCACTGTTAGTGAGTTCTGTTTACTATTGAAAAGCCATACAATGTTAAGAGCAAGGTTTTTTTCTAGCTCTGCCATTTACTAATCGAATGGCCCTGGGCCATTTACTCATCTGTCTCTGTTTCTGTAAAATTTATTTGAAAAATGGGGATAATAACACTTACCTCAGAGTTACTATAAGTATTAAATAAACCAATACACACTGAAGTGTTTTTAACAATGACTAGTGTCTAGGAAATTCTCAATAAATGGTAGCTGTTATTGTTGCTGTTATTTTCTCAGCATTTAGAATTGTTTCAGGCACATAGTGGGCATTCAATGAACACATTAATCCCAGCAGATTAAATTGAATTGAAGTGATTAAGCTCCCATGGCTCTATTCTGTGCTTACAACTCTCATTTGGTTTGCAGGCTCCTGTTTCCTGTCCCCTGCTTCCACTTTGTAGATACCTAGATTTTACAGAGGCATAGCTTTCAAGATACCAATGACCCACATGCTTACTTACTGATTATGTTATTGCCATTTCATTATACCTGTAGTTTTATGGGGGGAATATCATTAAATTATTTGTGAAGCAAAGGAGAAATATATAATTTAGTCTTCAGATCTCTTAATATGCAGGTGTTATTGGCAGTAGGGTGCTTTGGTTTTGCTTTATATTGTTAAATAGAATTTTAGGGCTGGCAGCCTTTATGAGATCATTCAGTACTATCTGAAGGCCGTAATGATTAAATAACCTATTGATCTATGACAAGGTTCAGACTTCATTCAGCACTCTTCCCCACTCTTTGGTTATTTTGGTAGGGAATGTAAAGCTAGACATCACTGAAAACCTGACTGATAGTGGCTTAAAGAAGTCAGGATTTATTTTTCTTATATAGTTAGCTGCTTGTAGGTAGGCATTTATTGGTTGTGGTTCAGTAGCTTAGTGATGTGACAGCTCTAGTTTGGCTTTCCTGTATGTTTTTGGTCTTTCTGACATGCTGGCTTGATCTCATGGTGGCTATAGTGGCTCCTAGCCACGTTCACAGGCGGGAGCTTTTCTCATGCCACTCTCCTACCAAAGAAAGTCTTTCCTGGAAGCTTATTGGCAGAATTGAGTCCCTTACTTATCCTTCATTGCAAGATGCTAAGAGCAAATTCTATGGTGGGAGGGAGGCAAAGAAGAAGAGGGTTAGAAATGGCTTTCAGATAGCCCTACAACAGTGTCAGTTACAAATATTCTATCTTTGTTCAACATTTACTTTTATAGCACTTTGGTGCTTAGATTCTAATATAAAAGTCATTCATGTATTACATGCTGTATCTCTGAGTTATTTCTTTAGTGTCTGCTACAATTAGCAATCTGAAAAAGAGGTTTTTTTACCTTTATCCAATCTGTGTGGTTTCAAAATATTAATATAAAACTTTTTTCTACATTTATAATTTTCATCAAATTGTAGGTATCTTTTAAAATTACTGACAAAATGTATTTCTTAACAGGATAAGAACTAATTCTACATTAACTGAAAATGTGCTTTCTCATAAATTACAATTTGATGGTAGGATCATATCACGGTAATTGTGATTTTATTAAAATTTTCAATCCTATGATTATAAAAATGTTCTCTTTTTGAATAGAAATAATAGTAATGAGATTAGATAGGTTTGTATCATTTAAATAATATGTGAATTTAGAACAAACATTTTAATGTAATAGCTGTTAATCTGTTACAAAATATAGGAAATATGCATGTGTAGGAAAAACATTCTAATTAAAAGTCATCTTTAAAGCAAATTTAAATGCTTTTTAAAAAGTAACTTAGAAGAGAATTTTTAAAAGAGTTGTATTAGTACTAGAGTATTATAAATGGAAAACTAACATTTTATAAGTTGCTTTAATTTTATATTAATGATTTAACAGACTATTGATAGATGCAGTAAGTGACAAGGAAAATGATTCTTAAATGTATTATTTCAGTCTTATAATCTTCCAGTAATACATAATTCTACTTGATGTTCTTTGTATATTACTTGTAAAATGTGTATTTTAAATTATCATATTTGTTTAGTGATTTTAAAGCTTTCTATGGCAATAAAAGATACTAAATTTGTATCTCTGGGTGCCTTCTTGCAAGCTCAGCACTTTTAAAGATAATTTACTTTGTCTTAAAAGTTTATGTTGAATTAATAATCTACATTGTAAATGTATCCACTTTTTATGTCAGTGTAACATTATTTTTTTTTCATTCAAATCTAATTTAAGTGGACATTTCAGCAAACTGTGTTTGTGTTTTCTCTACAGTTTCTCATAACCTTCACTCATTGCCATATACCTAAGAAAGTTAGCTATCCCTCTTGAGAGGCACACTTTTTTTTAGTTAATTAACATGAAAAGTATTCTATTTCAAGATGTTTGATATCATTCTATTTTTCCAGAAATGGACGTAATGCTTGCAGAGAGCTAATTGGGTTCTTTTTCACTCATGACCAGTCCCTTACAATTTATGAATATCGACAATTTGGGAAAAATAGGTATGCCATAAAACATTATTAGCACTCTGAAGATGATCATTTCTGAGAGAAGCTAAATAACTACATTTATTTTTCCTTTACTTTCTAGAACAATTGTGCTTCCTTTTATTAAAAAACAAATTTATAGTCATCAGTGTGGACGAAGAAAAGGAAAGCAATACCAACTTGGTGATTTTTACGTTGTAAGTTATGTGTGTGTGTGCTCACATTTAATACCAGATGTCGAATTTTGTGGAGTCCCATGGAGGTGGAGGAGCAGGGCTTCTAGTCTCCAATTTATTTCCTCTCCTCCATCCTGACCAGGGTCATTTGTGTGAAGGGGTTAATGGTTGATGTTTTCCTAGGAGTTTCTGCTTCCCAGCCCCAAATCCCAAATCTGAATCCAAGCATAGCATTTATTTTCTGGTAACATCTCCCCTTCCCATTCCACAATGTGGGTTGTCTCTAGATGAAGTTGTATCTTCATACTTTGAAAGATTCTTCAAAGCTGTGTCATTGTGCAAGTGGCTATCTCAATAGCACCAGGAGATATTCTTTACCTGAAGCAGGTTTATTCTTTGAGGATGCAGTTTCCTTCCTTCCTTCCTTCCTTCCTTCCTTCCTTCCTTCCTTCCTTCCTTCCTTCCTCCCTTCCTCCCTCTCTCCCTTTCTCCCTCCCTCCCTCCTTCCCTCCTTCTCTCCCTTCCTTTTTCTTTTTCTTGTATGGCTCCTATGCTTATACACATTAATAAATTTGTTATGCTTTTTTCTTGTAAACTTGTCTTTTGCTACGGGGATATGGCAGTGAGCATTATGATGGAGAGGAAAAGGATCACCTCCTTCCTCCCCCTACACCTACATGTTTTTGAGATAAACAATAACTAGTCCTCAAGTAAGAGGACTCCACAGTACCATTTGTCACACCTATTTTATCCTAGATTCACCTGGTAATTAGAGTGACTAACTGTGTTAGCTAATTGGCTTTATCCAGGGGAAAAACACAAACTCTTTATGTCTTTGTGACCAGAGGTGGTTTTGCACTTAGAGTAAGGTGCCTAAGGAATTTAGGCCCCCACGCTCTCACAGAAACTGGGAGACAGAAGTGCTCTCTCATTTGATGTCTGCACTCAAAGAGTGGCTCATAGGTCCTTGAGAAAGCCTTATCTAGGTCATAAAGTTGACAACACACTTATCTAATTTTCACAAGTATTGATATGCATTTCAAAGAGAGGAAAAAGTACTTACATTATAATTACAAATTCTGTAAAGTAAATGTGCTAAGAAAATGGAGGGGAGGAGCATTCTTCCCTTATATTCAACAGGAAGAATCAAGCCCCTTTTTAAAATTTGTATTTGTCGTTAACATTGGTTATGTTTATTTGAGCAGCTCAGAAATTAAAATAATAATTTTATAAGTTTAGATTAAGAATTTTTGATAGGAATTTTGTGGCTAAAGTTTTAATGCTCTAATTAGGTTGAAATTAGGTTTTATAGTTAGGCAACATCTGTCATCAAATAGTTCAGCTGAACAGTATGAGAAATCTTCATAGTTCTTCAATTTGTGGCATATCATTTTGTGGGCCAATAGCTCTATTTTAGGATGTCGTAATTTCAATTAACTTATTTGTTCTTTTTTCCTCTCTTTCTCATTTAAAAAGATCTGAGTTTATTATATTGCTAGATTTTTTGTTCACATGGATTGTTAAATAGAAGGCTATTCTGAGAGTGACAGAAATATTAGTTTCTTTATCTGTATAGTTTCTCCAAATACAAATAAGCATTCTCCAAATATCCTTTTTTTACCATTATTAAATTATATCATGTCACATTAATCAAATCAATTATTTTAAATTAATGTTAGTTATATTTAATTTCTTATGTGCTTTCTAGCTTCATTCATCTGTTCATTTATTTAGGGTGCAACATTGACATTTTTGAGTTCTGATCATCTCAGCCTTCCAGAAAGCATCAAAGAAAGCACATTGCTTAAACTACGAATCACAAATATTGATCAAATAGCTATGGATTCTCTCAAGTAAGTCAAATATGTGTTTGGCATTTTGAAAGTAGGTGAAAACACTCTTAAAATTATTTTAAAATGACATTCTATTACAAGGTTTTTATAACTTCATTAATGTTTATATTTTTAAAATACAAGCATAGCTATAGGTGTCTATTTTATTTATTATCTTGTACTCAAATACACTTCATGTGTGGGAACAGTTATGATAATTAAATATTTTTAAATATTCAATTTTATGTTAAAGATATCTTATTAATTTGCCCTTGCTTTAACACTTTTATTTTACCAAATATTACCAAAAGGAATAAATTTTAAAAAAATAGAATATCAATACAATATCATAACAATTTTTTTGCATTGTTAGTATGATGGTTTTTTAGTATTTAGAAAAGTCTTAGGGCAGGCGTCCCCAAACTACGACCCTAGGGCCACATGCGGCCCCCTGAGGCCATTTATCCAGTTCAAGGGGCACCTCTTTCATTGGTGGTCAGTGAGAGGAGCACAGTGTGTGGCGGCCCTCCAACAGTCTGAGGGACAGTGAACTGGCCCCCTGTGTAAAAAGTTTGGGGACACCTGTCTTAGGGTCTCATATGCTTACAGTATTCATTGATAAAGTGCATAGTGAAAAAATAGTGCTATACATCAAACATTGTTTTTAAAATGTACTTTTTAAAAATAACAGGAATACATACATGTGATTTAAAAAGCATATACATATTCCTGTGATTATATATATATATATATATATATATATATATATACACACAAAATATATTTATATTAGAGGCTATGTCTTGCCTATTGACTGTAAAGAAGTCTGGGTTTCTTTGTCATTTACTGTATTGCTAAAATTGAATGCATTTGAGGGGGCTTTTTTTTTTTTTTTTGAGATGGAGTTTCGCTCTTGTTACCCAGGCTGGAGTGCAATGGCGCGATCTCGGCTCATCCCAACCTCCGCCTCCTGGGTTCAGGCAATTCTCCTGCCTCAGCCTCCTGAGTAGCTGGGATTACAGGCACGCGCAACCATGCCCAGCTAATTTTTTGTATTTTTAGTAGAGATGGGGTTTCACCTTGTTGACCGAGATGGTCTCGATCTCTTGACCTTGTGATCCACCCGCCTCAGCCTCCCAAAGTGCTGGGATTACAGGCTTGAGCCACCGCGCCCGGCCTGAGGGGGCTTTTTAAAATAAAATTTTTATATTTTATACATTACCGGGTAAAATTTCTTTTAATTATAATCATTTTAATTAAATATTTAAAACATTAAAATAATTACAAAAATTAATGCTTACAAGTAGTTATTGTAAGATTTTAAGGATTTTTAGCTCTCAATTTAATCTTCTTAGTGATCAAAGCAGCAGGCAGAGTTTGAACTTGATTAAATTCTAAACACTCTTCCAAGCTTGAGAGTTTCTTTGAGTCTGGAGCAGGGAAGAGCTTAGAGTTTTTATGATCAAGATGGTAAAATAGAATCTATCTATCTGTATATACACACACACACATACACACATGTATTTCATCACTGTGAACATGTCCATTGCAGAACCACTTCTGTGGAACAGAAGGATGATATAATCAGTCAAGAAACCAATGATAGGCTGGTCTTCAAGGCAATTCAAGGTATGTGTTATTACTATACTCTCAAGTACTTTGAATTTTCAATCTTTTTTTTTATAATCAGTGAAACAGCATTTTTTCAGATATTTCTCTGTGGCACTTGATTTATATTTCCCCTTGGTTTATTTTAAAAAGTGTATATATATATATATATATATATATATATACACACACACACACACACACACACACACATATATACATACATATATGTATGCATATATATATATATATATATATATACACACACACACTCAATTAGGCAGTTACTCTCTTGGATCTCATAGGCTAAAATGGAGAAAGATATTGAACAAGCAGTCACAGAAATTAACATATAATTTATGATTTTTTTTTTTTTTTGAGAGAGAGCCTTGCTCTGTTGCCCAGGTTGGAGCGCAGTCGCAAAATCACAGCTCACTGCAGCCTCAGATTCCTGGTTTCAAGTGACCCTCCTTGCTTCAGCCTCCTGAGTAGCCAGGATTGCAGGTGCATGCCACTGCACCTGGCTAATTTGTTTGTTTGTTTGTTTGTTTTTCTGTTTTCATAGAGACAGGGTCTTGCTATGTTGCCTAGGCTGGTCTGGAACTTATGGGCTCAAGTGATCCTCCCACCTTGGCCTCCCAAAGTGCTGGGATTATAGTCATGAGCTACCATGCTTGGCTTAATTTATGAATTTTCGTGAGTCCTGATTTATTTTTTAAAGATGAAGTGCTCCCAGTAAGAAGGCAAGAAACAGATTTGAAAAGTTTTGTTTGAACTCTCAAATGTTCTTGATGCCATTATTTGTAAACAGTTTTCTCTGTTATATCATAGTCAATACAATATTTGTCACAATTGAACTTAGTGATGTGTTTTTTCTCTCATATATTTGTCTTATGTATTTTATCTCTCGTGTATTAATCTAATAACTGCTTTAGTAATGTTACCATTCTATTCTTAAGTAAATATGGCATAAAGTTCATTAAGTAAAATAACAGTTACAAAGAGAATGCTAGGGATCTAAGGATATAACCTCTTATGAAATATATAAGTACAGGATAGCATTCAAAAATGGTGATGCTATTTTACATACAAGTTAAAATTTGAAGATTTCAAACTATTTTTAAAATATTGAACTGATAATTTTTGAGAGACTTGCTTGTCATCAATTTTGTAATTCAGCTGATAAAAACTAAGAAAAGGAAAACAGATTCAGGATATGGGAGTGGTTAAAGAAGTTGTCTATGCAACAAAATCTAATATTTATTTGTAACATTTAAGTTATTCTCTGGGTAATAAAGTGAAACCATATTTTCTGTTTTAAAAATACATCACTTCCACCACACAGTGGTGCTATAGTTCTGGCATATTTACATATGATTTTATATTTAATCCTTTTGATTAAAAACATCTTATTTTCCAGAGTCTTTTGTCTTACATGTGATTTGTTTGAATATTCACATTCCTTATTTCAGTTACATCAACTTTAATTTTCTTACAAAAGATAACTGCGGCTTTATACATTTATGCATGGGAGCAATTTGTTTTCATCTCTCTTCTTGTTGAACAGATTTGCTAAAAGAAAAACTACATAAAAGAGGTGTTCGTATTTTGACTGGATTGGGAAAATACTTTCAACAGTTGGATAAGGAAGGAAATGGACTTCTAGATAAGGCAGATTTTAAGCAAGCTCTTAAAGTGTTTCACTTAGAAGTGTCTGAAAAGGTATGTGCCACAGAAAATTCTCTGCAGTGGATAAGTTATTCTTAAGTGGTATTATTCACTGTTCTAATGAAATTTTAGTTTTCATCTTCTGCCCTCTTAGCAGCGTTAAGCCATTAGGTGACAAGCCCTGTTGGTTTTTTAAGTTTAAACATTGCTCCATCCTATATTTATAAAGAGTTTAATAACCAAGCATTGTGCTAAGTTCTGAGACAATACCTGTACTTTCAAGATCATCATAATTGAAGGAAAATAAACATAAAACCAACTATGTATTCAATGGAGAATGTTTTTGGAACACATGGGATAGGTAACTGATTCCAAAACAGGTTATGGGGAAGAACAAAGATGGAAGGATGCCTGGAGGAGGAGATGTCCAAGTTGAGTTTTGAAGCTTGAGGAGGAATTAACCAGACAAGGGAGAAAGAGGAATGTGAGTCAGACAATGAGCATTTTATGAAAAGGAAACACATAGATGAAAGCTTGGAGGGGTAGGGAGTGTGGCCTGTTTCCGACACTGCAAATGATTAATAATCTTCACACATACTGTTACCTCCACTGTGAATAATCTTCCACTAGATCTTTGCATGCTGAGTTTTCTTATCATTCAGGCCACAGCTTTCTTTGCCAAAAGCATTACCGTGACACTTCTGTTTAAAGGAACACTACCATCTGATCTCCAGTCCTTTCTATACCAATTTCTTATTTTATTTTTTATGCCCCTTTGTAAGTATTTTCTGTCTTTTCCTGCAAATATATCATGAAGTCTCATCAGGGCAGGGTCTAGGGTGTTTTGTGTTCCTTTTTCTAACATCTGAAATAGAACCCAGTATATAGAAAGTTAAGTAGATAATGCACTAGTTTGAGTGGATAAATTTATGAAAGGAAGGAAAAGAGAAGAATGGAGAGAAATGTCTGGTACACACCTTGCACATCATGCTAAGCAGGTTGAATTTTTTTCTAAAAAGCACATGAATCATATTTGTCTCAAGGATTTCAGATAAAGGATCTCATGCATTGTTCTCTTTTGCTTCAAATGATCTTGTCACAAGATGTGCATTTTGTAGAAAGAACACTGTAAATTGAATTTATGACATTTAGGTTCAAGTTCTGGCTTTACTATTTGAACTTTGTGATCTTGGACTGGTCTTTTAACTTTTTTGATTGATGGGCTCTGCCTGAGCAATCAGGGATAATTTCTATAGTTAGAGTTTGTTGGACACTCAAATAAGAAAATTACATGGGAATATGCCTTATCAGCTGTAAAATTCTGTGCCAATATGATGTTGCCTAACATTTTTCTGACATACCCATCTTTTGGGTTTTTATGATGTTTAATCTTTTGACCCACCTACTGATACATACCAAGGATCATCTAACTTCTCTTCATTTTGTAGATTTAAACAACAACAACAACAACAACAAAAACAAAACAGTGATAGGAAATTAGAAAGCCTTGATGTCTTTGCCTATAATCATGAGTGTAAATGGACAAATCACACAAACTATGCTTTTCCTTTGCTTTCACACAGCAATAATCAACACAGAATACTTCTGCAACCAAATGCATGTGGGGCTTCCACACATACAAAGTAGACACCCAATGGATATCCTCTAATTCAATTCAATTCTGACATTATCTACCTGGAGATAGCCTCAGATCCCACAGGGTGAGATCTCAGTTCTACAACACAATCCTTTCTCCCAACATGCTCTGCATAGGGCACCAGTCACAAGTTTCGATCCCTGGAACTTGTGATCAAGGAATTTCAAGTTGTGGGTTCCCATTGACCCCCTCCTTGGGTTCAATTAATTTGCTGGAGCCGCTCACAAAACTCAGGAAAACATATATTTACTGGTTTACTCTAATGGATATTACAAAGTTTATAGATGAAGAGATAAATAGGGTGAGGTATGGGGGAAGGAGTGCAGAGCTTTCATGCTCTCGCTCCAGGAACCTCCGCAAACTTAGCCATCCAGAAGCTCCCTAAACCTTGTCCTCTTGGCTTCTATGGAGACTACATTGGATAGACATGACTGATACATGGACAACTGTGTAGAAATGTGATTGGACAAAAGCGTATGACCTAAGACTGATAGACTGAAGGAGGAAACCCAGCAAGGAATGCCTGTTCAGACTCTTCTTGGCCTCTCTGTGCAGCATTCCTTCTGAAATGGGGTCTTCTGACCTACAATTAGATAAGTAGGTCAGAGAATTTCTTTATGGCCAGCTCCAACACAGAAAGACAAGGGAAGATTCTGCCTTGAAGAGGGAAAGGAGCACATAAAAGAAGGGCAGGAGAAGGTCACAGAGAGAGAGATTCCATTTTTTGAGGCCTAAAGTGTCCTAACGTTATAATAAAAGACTGTAAGAAGGAAGGGCAATGGGAGTTATGAACTGGGAACTATGGATGGAAACATATAATATATAGATACATGTGTGTGTGCGTGTTTGTGTGTGTGTGCACGCATGCGCGTGCACGTGGGCTTGCATGTGTATGTGTGTATGTGTTTATAAAATCACACACAAGTAATTAATACCTGATATAGGATTAGAACCCACATAATATGTTCCTATCTAGTACTTTTTTCTGTATCACAACAATACTTCCCTTTTTGATTAATTTGCTAAATTTTTATGATTAGATCTAGGAATAAAAACTACAATAATTATGTAAGACTTCTAACATAGAGGGAGCATATGAAAATATGAATAAGCTACCTCCTTTTCTCATATATTTTAATAATTTTTTTCTGTAATATCACTGTAAACTGCTCATGCTATGATAAGCGTATACAAACAGCTTGAGAAGAATAACGTAAGAATCACTAACCTGGGTCTAATTTTGAAGCTAGAGAGTGTTTGTGGGAAGGCATAGTCAGCCATTCTTCCTGATTTAAGATGAAAGCAATATGATATATACCCTAAAAAGCTTAATTTTTGTGGAGATACTGTCAATTATTTACTTCAGGTTTTTTTTTTTTCAATGTAATTATTTTCCATTCTGTACCATATCTTGGAAAGAAAGTATATATATATATATATATATATATATATATATATATATATATATATTTATCTATCTATCTAGATCTATCTATGTTAAATTACTTAATTCTCAAAAATTATTTCTTTTAAGCTTCAAAAATTATCTTTCAATTCTAATAATCCATGAATTGGTAAGCAAATTGGTCTTCTCCTGTACATATTACTCATGATTTTAAAGGTCAAGCTCATCTTCAGTTTAACTGCACAGATACTTAAGAGTCTGGATTATGTGCAGTACATTATGATAGACAAAGATGTATGGGGTTGGTGAGAATTGAAGGAAGGAAGGCATCTTTAGATTTTGTTTTCCTAGTTAAAAATTTTATTTGAAAAAAATAGGAGGGAGTGAAAGGTGAATATTTTTTGAGTACCTATTATTTGCCAAGCACCTTGCTAGGTATTTTATTTACATTTGCATTTAAAGCTAACAACTTGATTAAAACATGAAAAAATATATTTACTTGAGTTCGAGAAAATGATGCTGCAATTTCTCTGCTGTCAAGGAAAACTGTGATAGAACTTTCTATTAAATAGTGCATTTGCCGAAGAAGTAAATGGTAATGGTAAAGTGAACGAACTGGCATAAGGGATTTATTTAAAATTATACCTTTCAATGTAAATTCTAGAATAACATTAGAGTCACTCAAATCTATGTTTTCAAACATAAAGACTAGCAGAAATATAATTAGTGATTATAATGCCACTGGAAGTATTCTAGGACCTGAAATGAGTTTTGAATTAACAGAAATATAATACATTAAAAGTAATTAAATATTCAAAACTGAGTAAATGGTAACCATACATACACACACACACACACACACACACACACATCGATAGATAGATATCTCTATATCTTTATATCTCTATTCTATATATAGGTTTGTGTATATATAATAGTTTATACATAGGTTTATATATAGAATATAGATATATTATAGAAATAAAGTTGAAAAGATAAATTTGTTACCAGAGCATGGGGCAGGGAGTGGTATGTAAGGAAAATGGAAATTTGGTTAAAAGGTACAGGGAGGCACTACACACTGGGGTCTGTTTTGGGGAAATGAGGGAGGGGGCAGTAGGGGGTGGGGAGTTGGGGAGAGATAGCATGGGGAGAAATGCCAGATATAGGTGAAGGGGAGGAAGGCAGCAAATCACACTGCCATGTGTGTACCTATGCAACAATCTTGCATGTTCTTCACATGTACCCCAAAACCTAAAATGTAATATATATATATATATATATATATATATATATATATATATAGTACAAGTTTTCGAAACAACCCCATCAAAAAGTGAGTTAAGGATATAAACAGAAGAAGACATTTATGCAGCCAACAAACATGAAAAAATGCTCATCATCACTCATCATTAGAGAAATGCAAATCAAATCCACATTGCGATATCACCTCACACCAGTTAGAATGGTGAGCATTAAAAAATCAGAAGACAACAGATGCTGGAGAGGATGTAAAGAAACAGGAATGCTTTTAAACTTTTGGCAGAAGTGTAAACTAATTCAACCATTGTGGAAGACAGTGTGGCAATTCCTCAAGGATCTAGAAATAGAAATACCATTTGACCCAGCAACCCCATTACTGGGTATATACCAAAAGGATTCTAAATCATTGTATTATAAACACGATTTACATGCACATGTATGTTTATTGCAGCACTGTTCACAATAGCAAAGACTTGGAACCAACCCAAATGCCCATCAATGATAGACTGGATAAAGAAAATATGGCACATATACACCATGGAATATTATGCAGCCATAAAAAAGGATGAGTTCATGTCCTTTGCAGGGAGGTGAATGAAACTGGAAACTATCATTCTCAGCAAATTCAAGAGCAGAAAACCAAACACTGCATGTTCTCACTTATATGTGGGTGTTGAACAATGAGAACACACAGATACTGGGAAGGGAACATCACACACTGGGGCCTGGGGGTTGGGGGCTAGGGGAGGAATAGCAGGGGTTTGGGGGATTTGAGAGGGATAGCAGGGAGTGGGGGTATTGGGGAGGGATAGCATTAGGAGAAATACCTAATGTAGATGAGGGGGGATGGAGGTAGCAAACCACCACCATGGCACGTGTATACCTATGTAACAAACCTGCATGACTGCACATGAACCCCAGAACTTAACGTATAATTTAAAAAGAGTGAAATTTCTGTTATCTATTATCACAATAAAACAATATTTTAACAACAACAAATTCTATGTAATGAAAAAGGTACAAGTTTTCATTACATAGTAAATTAAGTTCTGGGTGATCTATTGCACAGCATGGTAACTATAGTTAATAATAATGTATATTTCAAAATACCTAAAAGGAAGGATTTTAAATGTTCTCATCACAAAGAAATGATATTTAAGATGATAGATATGATTGTACCTTTCTACAATGTAGACATGTATTGAAATATCATATTGTGCCCTATAAATATATACAATTGTTAGTCCATCAAAAATAAAATTAAAAATAAATTTGTGAGCTATTGCCACTCCTAAATGTCTCTTGACTTTACAGAACTGTTAACCACAGATTCTTCTAAATCACTTTTTTAGTGTCTTTTACTGGATTTTTATATAACTTTTTCAATGTTCATATTAAATGAGCTATCATATCTAGAACTACAAAAGATGTAACAAAATACAACTAAGATGGTTTTGTTGTGACTGTATAAAACTTAGAAATGAAACGGTTATCTCTGATTATTTCTAGGATTTTGAGTCTGCATGGCTAATTATGAATGACAATGGCAATGGCAAGGTCGATTATGGAGAATTCAAACGTAATATTATTGGTGAAATGAATGAATATAGGAAATCATTTGTCCGAAAGGTAACTTTGTTAAGTAATCCTTCAAACTGTTATTTTTAATAGATTGTTAGGTTCAGTATTTTAAAACTTTAATGGATTAACATTTAAAATGTTTTAAATCTATTTACTTGTAACATATGTTGGGTGTAATAAAACACAAAGCAAGTCCATATGCATACAAATCTATCTAGAATGAAGCAAAATAACTTGTGTATGTATTTTAGAAAAACACTAGGGGGGAAAATAAAATTTGAACTCAAACTTTGGTTAACAAATTACTAGCTCCATAGGTTGTTGCCTCCATAAATTACTAGCAATGTGAATATATGCATTATAAAATATTCCTAAGCCTAACTGGTCTATCTCACAGAGTTGGTGTAAAGATTAAATAAGCTAATGCATATACAATTCTTAGCATTGTGGCTGTTCCAATGTCTATACTTCAGGCAGACATTTTGTTTTAGGGTGATGACTAAAAAATGTTGATCTGGTCTTTAGAATATGCATGATAAATATTAAATTTTCAATTAAAATAATCATGTTAAATTGGAAATAAATACAAGATTACTGACTTTAATAGGAAGCTATGTATTACTTTGGATTTTCATAGCCATTTTTAGAGCATACTTTCGAGCAACGTAGTTCTTTTTTTCTTTTGCTGACTTTAATAGGAAGCTATGTATTACTTTGGATTTTCATAGCCATTTTTAGAGCATACTTTCGAGCAACATAGTTCTTTTTTCTTTTGCATATGTACTTAATATTGAAACAAAGCTATTCTATATAGAGTAATGTAAATAATTATATAAATCCCAAATAGAAAAATTAGTCTCTACCTTTACTGAGCAAGAGACACAGTAAAAACCTTAAATTAGACAAATTCACCACATAATATTTATAAATGTATACTTATTCATACTTTCCATGTCCTTTCTGGTGATAGGTTTCAGAATCTGGAATAGAAATTGGAGGCTTGTCTCTTTCATAAATCTTGGTAATGGAAATAGAGGGCAAGAGAAGTGTTATGCAGTTCTGTATTTGTTTGCTTGGGCTGCCGTAACAAAATACCACAGACTAGGTGACTGAAATAACAGAAATTTATTGTCTCACAGCTCTGGATGATAGAAGTCCACAAAGTATCAGGCAGGTTTGGTTTCTTCTGAGGCCTCTCTCCTTGGGTTGCAGATGGCTGCCTGTTCTCTGTGTCCTCACATGGTCTTCCCTTTGTCTGTGTTGTGTTCTATTGTCTTTCTTTTTTTTTTTTTTTTTTTTTTTTTTTTTTTTTTTTTTTTGAGATGCAGTCTTGCTCTGTTCCCCAGGCTGGAGGGCAGTGGCACAATCTTGGTTCACTGCAACCTCCACTTTCTGGGTTCAAGTGATTCTCCTGTCTCAACCTCCCAAGTAGCTGGAATTACAGGCACGTGCCACCATGCCTGGCTAATTTTTGTATTTTTAGTAGAGACAGGATTTTGCCACATTGGCCGAGCTGGTCTTGAACTTAGGTGATCCACTCACCTCAGCCTCGCAAAGCGTTAAGATTACAGTGTGAGCCACTGTTCCTGGCCCTACTGTCTTCTTATAAGGAGACGCCAGTCATAATGGATAGAAGCCCACCCTAATGATTTCACTTAAAATTGAAACTTAATTATCCCTTTAAAGGCCCTACCTTCAAATACAGTGATATTCTGAGGTACTAGAGATTAGGGTTCAACATATGACTTTTGGAGAAACACAATTCAGTCTACAACGGCTTCTGTATTTCTGTGAATGCATTGTTGTGAATAACCAGACTTGATTCTAGCTTTGACCCTACTACAAATGTAGAATGTTGCTTTGGGTAGCTTGTGTCTTTTGTGTGGCAAATACTCTTCCCACTGAAATGTTTTATAATGTTTTATGATACTCAGAGCTACACTGAATTAAAGGAGCAATAACACAACTACCATTTCAAAAAGTGTATTAACTTTCAAGAAATAGAGTAACACAACTCATTTAAAAAGTATTTCACTTTTTCATTGATTTTAGGGAGGAAATATTTGCAAATTCACTTATTGAGTTAAAATACTTGTCTTGGCCATTTGTTTTGGCTATTTATATGTTTCATATGAATCCTAGAGCTGGAAGTTACCTGAGAGATCTTTTACCCATCTCTTCAGTTTGCATGGGAGAAAGGCCACGGAAATAGAGGTCAGGTTACTTTCTCAAGGTCAGGATGCTAGAAAGTGGTAGAACTTTCTAATTGAGTGCAGATTTCCTAATATCTTGCTTCACTATCTTTTCTCCTGTATTTATAATAGTTCTTTCATATATTAATATAGTATTTTTTAAAATGTCTTGCTTATAGCTCAGAAGTAACCTACTGTAAAATATAAAATTAGATTCCTATGTCTAATAATTTTACTTAAAAAATAACATTTGTCAGGCCAGGCACGGTTGCTGATGCCTGTAATCCCAGCATTTTGGGATGTCGAGGCAGATGTATCTCCTGAGGTCAGGACCTTGATATCAGCCTGACCAACATGGTGAAACCCCATCTTTACTAAAAATACAAAAAATAGCTGGGCATGGTGGCAGGTGCCTGTAATCCCAGCTACTTGGGAGGCTGAGGCAGGAGAATAGCTTGAACCCAGGAGGCAAAGATTGCAGTGAGCTGAGATCATGCCATTGTACTCCAGCCTGAGTGATGGAGCGAGATTCTGTCTCAAACAAACAAACAAACAAACAAGAATTAATAATAATAATACTTGTCTATTTAGGCCTTTATGAAACTGGATTTCAACAAAACTGGCAGTGTGCCTATTATAAATATAAGAAAATGTTATTGTGCAAAGAAGCATTCTCAAGTAATTTCAGGTAATTATTGTGAGTCAAAATTCATTGGATTTTGAAAATGTTACCTAATAAAGATAGCATCTTTAAATTATATTAATTTGAAGCTTAGGCTGAGGCCATTGGGGAGGAAATAAAGTATTTTTTTTTAACTCAAAACTTAAGAACTATTTGCCTTTCTTCATTTAAAAATTTAACTTAGGTCTATTGTCTGTACTCATTTGTTTATTTGATATTTATAATCAATATAGAACTTATTTACTGCTTAGGAGATAGTAAAGGATTTAAGTTAAAAAGAATGAAATAGGTTTAGAAAATAGATAAATATATGCAAGTTCTCAGAGTTAGTTTTACTGTATCTGCTTATATAGTTATCTATACTTAAGGATTTTAGTGAAATGAGGGAATATATTTCTCTACATATGGAGCTATATGTAGAATGATCATATATATATGTATTAAAATTTGAGGATATTGTAAATTTCTGAAAATAACTCTAGAGATTCATGTCCTGTTATATTTTTTCTAACTTTTTTATATAATTGTTTTATAAGTACATCCTTTTTATAAAGAAAACATTTGACCACCACAACTCTCCTCTGTATGTTACATTTCCTTCTGTAGAAGTCAGAATTATCATTTAGCATATATATTTCAGTTAATATGTTATGAATTTTTACTTTATGGATTTTCATGGCTGTATGCATACTCCTCTGTACCATAAATATTTAATACTTTTTGAAGATTTTTTTGACATAAAAGGTGCACTGAACATAATGTTATATAGTTCGCTTTTTATACTCCCCAGTATGTTTTGGAGTTCTTTATATGTTAATCTACATTGGGCCACTTTATTTTTTATCTTGAAGCGTAGTGTTCTTTTAATAAATGAATATACTATCACTTACCTAGCCATTCTTTTATTGTTAGATTTTAAGTTCTAATTATTGATGAACAACTAATGAAGCAATAAATATACTTATTTGTGACTCTTCAGGCCTGTTTTCTACTGCTTCCTGGAATGATGCTAGTATCTGGAATTACTGGGATATCTGCATTTCAAACTTTAATTGATACTTCCAAATTACATTGTAAAATGGCTGTACTAGATTATATAGCCATTTGTTGAAGAGTTCTTTTCCTCCACAACTGCCAACAAATTTCACTTTGCAAATCTGATAGATTAAAAAACCCATTTACTTACATTTTCTTCATTACTAGGGAGGTTAAACATATTTTTTGTAAATTTATTAATTGTTCATCTTTAATGAATAGTTATTGACCATATTTTATGAATAATTTCTTTTCAACTTACAACTTTAATTCTATACTGCTAAATACCATAGAATACTATTAGTTTTAGAATTTTATTTCTTACTATTAAAAGAGATACACTGTAATTACTTTGTTTTTTTATCATCATTCACCCTCATATATGGTTAATTTATTACTTTTAATTATGAAATAAAAATAGGAGATTTGGTTATGAGGATTAAAGCTAATCATCACTGGATTCCAAATTTCTAATTATCTATTTCAGGTCAAAATAGTTTAATTTGCTTATCCATGACATGAAATAAACTACAGTTACTGTAAGATAATTTCTGGTATATATTCAATTGTTGCTACTATATTTGTCTCCATTAAACACATGTTATCTGTTTCTTTCTCTTAATTAGTCATACTAAATATAAGAATGAAATAGTTTAACAGCATGTTTTTTTTCTCTTTCTCTTTTCTCATCTAATAATATTAGGTTGCTAAAGTAGCTTCAGTTTTATTATGTGTCACGGAATTTTTGATGAGGGTTTTATTTTCGTTGTTGTTGGGAAAGCCTTTCTTGGTTTCAGAAATTCCATAATTTGTCTTTGTGTTCGCATTAAGAATAATAACAGGCAAACTAAATATTCTTAAATAGAAGAACTCTTGTTGCTATTTCAAAGAAGAAATAAAATACCCCTATTATTATTTATCATTGCAAATTATAATCTATACCCATGCCCACCTCTGGGATATAGTTTGTTCACAATTTACAATTAATTTCAAGGTATGACCCTTGTATCACATACAATTTATTTTTAACTATAGAAAATATTCCTCCTTAACTTTGCTTAAGTAATATATTAGAAAAAGGTGTTTCAAGATTTAATAGAAATGGGATATCCCAAATGTATTTCTGTGTAATAGTTTTAGAAGTATAAAATTTGTTGCTGTGAATATTTTCTGGTCTCCAAGAGGGCTGAAAAAAAATTAGTTATAGATGATAGGAGGTAGATATTTCCTTGGTGAGGGATATAAAGGAGATATGAAATTCTTTGCTATTTGAAATATAAATTTGAGTAAAAAATGTTTATTTAGAAAAAAAAGCTGTGTTAAAACTCCTCTGTTCAAAGGTATGGGTGGTAAACAAAATTTATGTTTTTATATAGATTAGATCTTGGTTAATTTTTAGCCTTAACTTAAAACTTCATTTTATTGTTTTATATTACCATGTCTACATAGCATAATTATTCAGTTCTTTATCATTTGACTTGTATTTTTGAAAATAATCACTTTTTCTCTATTTCTTGTGTATGTTTTTAAAAGAAAGCAAACTTCTTGATATTCAAAGCAAATTTCATTCCTTTAGTTTGAAAGACACTTTGCAATTCATTATTATATATGTCCATTAGAGAACCTCTGGTTTGAGGGGAAAAAAATGACTCTCACCTTAATTTTGTCCACCCTGTTAGATAAATGGCTTAAGTGGTGCTCCCATCTCAGCCTATTATTTAAAACGTAACCTGACTTTAAAATGTTTGAGAGGGTCTCATAGAAATTTTTTGACCCTTTTTCTACTACTGTGTATGTTTATTCTCTGTTCAGTGTTACGTGACCACTCACTATAGCTTCCTTTCATCTTTTAATTCCTCTGTTCTTGTTTAAAAATTAATGATCAAAAACATGTGTTCTATGCTAGGATCCGGGAGATAGATCAGTGCAGGCGAGCAGAGGGTGGGGAAGGAATGGCAAATTGAATGAGATGAAATAATTCCAGTTCATATGTAAATAAATTGGCTGGTAGTTTGACATAAGATTTCAAATTGTGGCAAAGATTTCATAAGATGATTAAGTATTTCTTTGGCATCATCAGTCATTTCACTGAACTTTTCAGGAAACTGTTTCATAGTCAGTACTATTTTACAGGCCATTCCACAGAGGAAGAAATCAAATCATGGTTTCTAGAAACATTAAAAGTTGCCTGCAGCAAGTCTGATGAAGTGTCATATGGTGAATTTGAAGATTACTATGAAGGTTTAAGTATAGGAATAGTAGATGATGAAGATTTTGTTAACATCTTACGTACTCCATGGGGGATTTAGTCTTTAACAATACATATGTCATCAGCACTAAGCATTTTATTGGAGAGATGATTTCAGTGTGAAGGATGATCAAACACTGGAATATATTTTCCTAGGACTTCCTTTATTCTGTTTTTTTTTTTTCCTCAAAAACGTTGAATCTGGAAAGAGAAATATCCAGAAAGATAGATATAGGGTTATATGCATGTTTGTGCATGTGTATGCATGCTCACATGTCCGTATGTTTGAAAAGATGTCTTTTTGGTTTATTACTTATCTTGCATATATTTTAAAGGTCATTTTTTATTAATCTCAATAGAAAAGTTACATCTGCATCAAACAATATGACAGCAGATATTTGTTAACCAAGTTTCCTGTCCTTTCACATTTTTTTTTGCTACTTCTTCCTTGGAATACATTTGCCACCATTGTCAATTTGATAAATTAGAATTGGGCCCCAAACCAGTGAGAATGAAATATTTCAATATGTTTAAAACACATAAAATATTAAAATAATTAAAGGATATGCAAGAGAAATTTTTCAAGCAGTGTGATTACAGATATTTTCTGTATATAGAATTTTAAGAATGGAGGCTTACCTCAATAATGCTCATTTAAATACTGACTTGTCTTGTAAATGTTTGTCTTCTGAATCATGTACTGTTGTTGGTTAAATAAAGCACAATGTAGTTATTCTAATGACCAGTTACATTTGTTCTTGTATTCTATTTTTAACTACAATCCTTTTTACCAGTAAACAATTGCTATTTGGCTAGAAACAATACAATATGAAAGGGGATTTTTTTTTATTAAGATAAATACATTATCTTATTAAACAAAGATCCTAAAAGTATATTGTGTCATACATGAATCTAAGGAACAGTTCAGTATTTCTTGCCTAAAACATGAAAGTGTATTTTTATCCTAAAATGAATATATGATATTCTAAACATCTCTTTTTGTATAACAAATGAAACATTTCCTTCTAAATATATGTTATTTAATAGTTACATGCATTATAATCATGCTTTCTAAATTCTTTGCTAGTCATTTCTTCCTGGGAATACAGAAAAGAGACAACTTTATGAGCTGTTTCCAAGTTCATAATTTTAAATTTTCTATGTTAATATAACATAAATGAGAAGAAATGTGATTCAAAAATGAAAATATTTACTTTGTAGAATATGATTTTAGACATATCACTATATCCATCTATACTTGGCAGCAACATGAGAATTGTGATACATGTGAACCCAACAAATTCAAAGTTGCACTTTTCAAGATTTGAGAAGGTACTAAAACTTAGTATTAAAATATGAGAGGGAAAATATGTGTAAACCTCTTAGTGCTATTTTAACTGACAAAATTTTTAATGTCTAGACTTAAAAAGATTAGGCTATTAAAACTACGCTAGAAGACATTTTGACAGAAATAAGTATATAACACTATTTTTGTCACTTTTTTGAAAAATTCATTCAACTATAGATATCTTAAACCCTAAAAATTGTTCTTCTTAAAAATGACTGATAGTGGGGGTGCTCAATATGCACGTAGTGTTTTTCATAAATAATTTTTATTTAGCTCTTAAAAAAACATATTCTTGATATTGGCATGTCATATTTTTTTGTTACTATGATCAGAAAATGTGTAGTCTGTCATACTGTGAAAAAAAAGGAAGCTGCTTTGGGGATTTAACATGTTAGTGTGACAGTATATTCTTAATTTTAATTTTCCTGATGTAAATATTCACGTGGTTATTTGTAGGAAATAGCTCTACTTATATTTTTTGGTGTATTTTGTTAGAATTGGTGACACAGTAAGTCTACTTTTGGATTTGCCTAACTGCCTGCATTCATCTTTGATTTCGGTATTCTAAAATCTGTTACTTAGTATTAAACTTAATAAAAGAGCATTTAAGAGAAGTGACATTTCAAACATCCAAGACATAATAATTGACTTTTGAAATCCAATGCTTAATAGTCATTGTGATTTTAAAAGACCTTTTGAAAACTTCAAAATATTAAATTATACATTGTAATGCTGTTACATGAATTTTATAGTTATGTGTATTTTGTAGATCTCTATATCTTTGAAAGTTACTTGCTTGTATGCTATATAATTGCTCTCTCAGTTAACCATATTGTTTATGGAATTGTATATATTGAGTTTCTGTTTTTATGTTTTGAAAATAAAAGTTTAGATAATGTTAAGGAAAAACTCACATTTTATTAAAAACAAGGAATATTATATAGGACTTTTAAGCTAACTTTTAATGGAAAGGATATACATATTTAAATGATGGAGCTATTGTAGTATATAGTTAAAAATGTATGTTCCTGTTTTAAATTTTATAGTGTATAAATATATGTGCTAATGAACCAGTGACTCTGCATAGAGACAGTCACTTAGAATAATTCATAATTTTGATAAAGCTATAGATCTTATTTTACATATTACTTTGACTTCCAGTTTAATTATTATCAATTATTTCAGGAGAGGATTGTATACATTAGGCCATGTTTACTGCGGATTATTTAATATGCTTTTATGAGATTATAGTTTGTAGTGCTTGCAGATATAAAACATATAGCCTGATAAGCTACAGTCACTGCTAGGTTGACCAGCAAGGACAAACATCATAAAAGAAACAACATGAAAGTAAGTGTTAAAAAAAAAAAGAAAAGAAATAGAAGGTAGTGAGCATATATAAAACATGCCAAGCAAGAGAAGAGGAAAGAGAATCTGCAGGGTAGACAGAGATATATTAGTTTCTGATCAAGAGAAGACGCTCTTGTCGTATCATCCTTCCATTTTTATTTTAAAGTTCTATAAACTTCTGAGGAAAACTGACTTATTGGATGCACTTAATATAAAAAGAATAAATGCTTCATATTGAAGCCACTGTGTACTTAATCATTATTTATTCTGTCAATCAGTCATTTGTACATGGTGAGTGACACTACCCTTGCAGTAGGCCAATGCTCTAAGATAGTCCAGATTTTTCTCATACTCTCTATTATCCACTCAATCTCAGGTTCTTGAATTTATCCATTGGTTCTTTAAATTTGTCTCATTCACTGTTTTCAATGCTTATGCTTTAGTTCAAACTCTTACCACTTCTTGTGTATTTCCCCTCATCAATTCTGCCTCCTTCTCAATCCTGTTTCAACCCATTGATGTTGGAGTGACCTTTTAAAATATACATCACTTCCTGAATAAAATTCTTCCCTGATACCTCATATCTCTCAGAAAAGTTCAAGCTCTGACCTTAACACATAAAACCTAAATGATCTGGTCTTCTTAAACTCATCTCCCCATACTTAGCTCACTTTCCACATTCTTCCAGTCATTCTGAACTATGTAACAGCTTTTAAAATAGACGGTGAGGTTTCCAACCTCTGCACTTTCATATCTGTTCTGCTACTGTTATCTAAAATTATTTTCTACATGTAGTGCATTAAATTAATCCATACCAGTCTTCAAATACTACTTTAAGAATAATATCTTCTGAAAAGACAAATTAGACAGATCTTGAATCCGGTATATTGGGATCCCATTGGCACCCTACGTGTGCCTTTACTGTAGCATCCATCACTTTCTACTGTAATCATAAATCTGCTTGTGTTTCTTTTACTAGATTGCAAGCTTCTTGAAGGTAAGAACAATATCTTATTTAGCTTTGTGATCCCGGTGGCTGTTTAGCATGGTGTAGGTGTTAAATCATTAGTAGGCTGGGTAAATGTGTGATTTATTGAGGAGAAATTGTCATGGTTCTTGTTTTGAACCAATTTTGCATCAAAATACTTTAGTAGATTCCATGTAAATATATGAACATGCAATTTTATGCAAAATTTTCCTATGGAGGCAGCAGGTTACCCTAATAATGCACAGAATGTATGTTCTAAGTGGCCACTTTTCCACAAAGCCTCACTGCTTAGGGGCTACTATATTCACTTCAATTTTTTGGAATTTGGTCAACATTTGATACCTAGTTTATTAGACTTCTAAGCATAATTAGTTGCAACCATGAAAATAGTGTGCACTTAAAGCCTTAGAGGAATCTTGGTCCACCCATGTATTAGAAAGACTTCTGGTTGTTTGACTGATAATAAAGTAACCAGATCCTGTCCTGGAATGTTGCTGCTACTTCCTTGGTGAACCTTTCATGCAGAGTAATGGTTGAAGTCTCTAAGGGACAAACTGCTGGGATTGTACTGATTTTACACAACAAATTGTATAACCTTTTCTGACCTTCTTGCTAAGAAATGTTTGTTTAATAAATGTTTGTGTGGCAGAATATATTCTTAAATAAATGCCATTAAAACCTGGAAGTAAGGGAAGGGATAGCTAATTTCCACCTATCTCAAAGACCTTTTTGAAGAGAGGGCCATGGTTATCTACCAAAAGGAACCTATTACTTGTGCATGGCTTACCTGGCTTAAGTCAATTCATAGCTGCAGTTCTCTGTCAGACACTGTAGTATGCATCACAGGCCCAAAAATGGCATGGCATTTAGGTGCCTAAAGTAGTAAAGTTAAAGTCTGAAATACCAGAAGTCTATAATTAATACAACATGGGCATAAACTAGGTACAGCAGAGCATTTAAGGCCTGCCTGTGTCATCCTAAGGGAGTAATAATAATTCACTATTCTGAAAACATATGATTTATGAAGGCATTATTGAGATAGGATGAAAGTATTTTAATATAAAATGCTGAAATGGTAAAGGATTTTGAAGATTTGATTGTATAAATTGTGAAAATGTACTAATGAATATACATTTTCAGATTTCTCTCTTTAATCTTGTATAAGCTGATTTGTATAGTTTTTGGATATTTAAGCAAAGTAAAGTCATTTGGAAGGATTTGAAGAAGCAATTACCTATCCAGTGGACAAATTTTATGCAAGTAGAAAAAAAAAAATCAAGTTCCTTGTTGCTTTTAACTTTTCCTTTTATGAAGTTCGAATGGGACTTCCAAACCATGGCAAATGAATTTAATTATAAAGTGTACGTTCTCACCTTCACAAATACATATTGAATTTCCTGGGAATTTTTAATGATGATAAAGCCAACAGGAAACAAATAATTGTATTTCAAGGACATTGTGTTTCCCTTATGCAAGTTGCATACTTATCTAAAGAGTCTTTTATTGAGGAACTTTTTAGAAAACGTTATAAATGAAAAGTTATCTTGAGGAAGCATTCAGATGACTATTAAGAAAAAGTATGTACTTATGCTAGTATTTTAATATAAATTATGTGGAATGAGTACAGGCTTTGAAATCACTGAATACTGACTTTAGACTTGGCTCTTCTACAAAGTAGCTGCATGACTTTGGGAAACTATTGAGTGTACTTCAACTGCAGGTCGATGTGAGGATGGGATATAAGTATGGATATGATAGAGATGTGGATATAGATATAGTGCTTACCACAGTCTAAAGCTTATGTGCGTGTGAGTGCATGCAGACACACACACACACATACACACACACACACACACACACATTCTGAGTACTATATCTATATATACATTTCCTCTGTTTTCTTGCAATTAATTAAAGGCTTTTCTTTTTCTTTCCTGATATCCTGAATGTCAATTATAAGAGCTATTCTTTTAAAAAGATATTTTTACTAGATAGAAGAGTTTGTATGCCACCATTTCCTCCTGGATTTCATAAGCCTTTCATTATTATTAATTCTCTTTCTTCAGCAGAGTCCATGAGAGAAAATAAAAATCTTGCATTAGGGCTATTAACTCTTTTCCTTCAAAGCATGTAACAAGGTGACAGCTTAAAAAAGGAGTTAGTAATAAAAGTTGTTTTTATTCAAATTAACTGGGAAATGATACATATGTGAAACTAATTTTATTTCTTTAAAGGCCTTAGGCAGCCTTGCTGTTATCTCTGGTGTACACACTAAGACCACTGATGATCCTGAATTCTGTAAAAGATTGTGTTTTCCAAACACAGCTGCAATAGTATCTCTCATCCCATATACTCTTCTTACATAGTGAACTTGACTTTCCATCAGGAGATGGGCTCTTTTTCCCTTCTGCTTGAATCTGGGTGACTTGTTAGTCTCTTGCAGCCACTAGATTGTGTCTAAAGTGATGCTGTGTTACTTTCCAGACTAGGTAAAAAGTGAAATGTAGTTTCTGCCTCATTTGCTGAAACACTTGAGCCACCAGGTAAGAAGTCAGACTACCCGAGACCACCAAACTGGAGGGGCCACATATAGTTGCTCTGGTTAAAAGCTAGAGCTGAGCTCCCAGCTATGAGCTAGCCTCAATTGTCTACATGTAAGTGAAATGTCTTGGGTTGATTGCACCTCTAATCAAGATCTTACTACATTCATCTAAAAGATCCCAAGTGAGAAGTACACAGCCAAGCTCTTCTATATTCTTGATCCCCTGCTTTGTGAACAAAGTAAAATGGTTGGTTTCGGTGGCTAAATTGTGTGTGCATTTGTGTGTGTGTGTGTGTGTGTGTGTGTGTGTGTTTACAATAGTAAGTAGAGCACATCTTTAAATAGAATTTGAATAAGAGTAAGAATATTTAAAACATTTTATCAAATATTCTGGAGAGTTAATTAATATGATCCACAGATGACAAAATTCTTCTAAGATATTAAAGGAAAAATAGTACAATAAGTCTACATGATCTAAGTTGTATGGAATAAAGTGATCTGATAAAATAAAAGAGATCCCACCAGCTCAATTCCAGTAAGTCAGGCAAGATTTTACCTTTGTTGTCTCACAGTTTGAGGCAGAAATTGTGAAGAACTAAACTCAGAAACTGAACCTTACTTTGATGGTTAATATTGAGTGTCAACTTGATTGGATTGAAGGATGCAAAGTGTTGTTCCTGGGTGTGTCTGTGAGGGTGTTGCCAAAGAAGATTAATATTTGAGCCAGTGGACTAGGAGAGGCAGATCTACTTTCAATCTGGGTGAGCACCATCTAATCAGCTGCCAACATGGCTAAGATAAAAGCAGGCAGAGGAATGTGAAAGGACTAGACTGGCTAAGTCTTCTGGCCTCCATCTTTCTCCTCTGCTGGGTGCTTCCTGCCCTCAAACATCAGACTCCAAGTTCTTCAGCTTTTGGATTCTTGGACTTACACCAGTGACTCTCTGGCCTTTGTCCACTGACTGAAGGCTGCACTCCCAGCCTCCCTACTTTTGAGGTTTTGGGACTTGGACTGCTTTCCTGGCTTCTCAGCTTATGGATGGCCTTCACCTTGTGATCATGTGAGTCAATTATCCTAATAAAGTCCCATTTATATATACATCTATTAGTTCTGTCCCTCTAGAGAATCCTATTACACTTACCTATTGCTCTCTCTCTCTCTCTCTTTCTCTCTCTTTATCTCTCTCTCTCTCTCTCTCTCTCTCTCTCTCTCTCTCTCTGTGTGTGTGTGTGTGTGTGTGTATGTGTCTGTGTGAGTTTCCTTGAGTAGGATCTAATAGGTATAGGCCCACCTAGAGTAGAAAAGGAAACTTTTGAGGATTTCTTGGGAGACAGAGAAGGGAAGAGTGTTTCTGGTTCTGAGGACATAGAGCCATGCTCCCTGTTTTCTGGCAGCAGCTGCCTGGGGAGAGCATGGGCTCTCAGAGGAGAGTGCTGTGTGGTGCACACTAGGCACTCAAGCTATTAATCCCAGATGTGACTCCCAGGTTTCAGAGATATCACCTCCAAGGGACCATAAAGGCTTGAATAATTAATTTATTAATTCATACAGTTATCAATTTAACCATTTGTTCCTTCAACACATTTATTGAGTAGTTTTATGAGACAGACACTGTTCCAGTTCAAGAGATACTTCCATGAATGATATACACAAATTGCCTGCCCCATACAGTTCAATTTATAGTGGTAGGAGATAGCAGGCAAGTA